ACCCAACATAAATATTATGTGTGTGTGTGTGTGTGAGCTTGCAAAGTGTATAAAAGCGGTTTCTAACAATGGTAACTGTAAACCGGATCCAACGCCCCGACGTACGTTTATATACTGACAAGTACCCATTCATAATTTTATAGAATTTACTCGAGACGACACGGTTAAAACATTCCAGTAAGATAAAAAAAAACGAAACGAAATTTTTCTTCATGAATGCCATGCATCTTTATATATATATATATATATATATATATATATATATGAACCACTGTCGTCACCTCAAAAACGTAAACAATTTTTTTTTTTTTTTTTTTTTTTTTTTTTTTTGAGAAAGAAAAAGTTACTTGATATACGAATGCAATTAATTAAAGATTCTCTAGTATGCCATATATACATATGCATTCATTTCGACCATTTCAATACCTTGCACTTGGTTCGTATATTATGAATATTCAATCGCTAACGCAAACCGAATGAATTAAATCGAAGCTGCGGATATAACCATTAAAAACTTTCAAATTTTCAATTCACTAGAAAATTGTATGGCGATGCGACCTGAAATCTTTTCTATTTTTTATTATTTATTATATATTATAATTTATAATATATGAGATAAATTATACAATGCCAAACAGTTTAGGGGCACTTTTTTGATAAAAAACGAAAATTGCTGAATATACTTTTGAAATTTTTTTTTTCACTTTAGTAGCAGTAGTGAAAGTCAGTTTTAGTCAGACAAAAAATATTTTCATTTTTTTACTAATTAGTAGTTAAAGTATGCAATAGTCAGACAAAAATTAAATTTAATGAATAAATTTTTTTTTTAATTTTGTTAGTTTAGTAACAGTAGTGAAAGGCCTTTTTAGTCAGACATTTTTTTTTTCAATTTTGAAACTATTTTATAAGTGGTTAAAGTATGGTATAGTCAGACAAAAAGTAAATGAAATAAAATTAATTAAACTTCTGTTTTTTTCAGTAGTGAAAGTCCGTTTTAGTCAGACATTTTTTTTAAATTTTTCCAACTATTATATTAGTAGCTAAAGTATATTATAGTCAGACAAAAATTAAAAGTTAAGTAATGTAATTTTTTTTAATTTTGTAAATTTAGTAAATCAGTAGTAAAAATCCGGTTTAATCAAACACGAGCAAAATACATTTTTTAATTTAAGTATTAATAATAAAAATTCTTTTTCTTTAGGCAGCTATTGAAATTCTTATAAATTAAATATCAGTAGTAAAATTCCATTTTAGTCAGACAACTGTTAATTTTTTATCAATTTAGTATCAGTATTAAAATTCAATTTTAGTTAAACAGAACTAATTTAAGTTTTTTATTTTGAGTGTCAGTAGTAAAAGTAGTGATAGTCTGTTTTAGTCAGACAACGATTTTTAAATTCTCGTAGCTCATCAAATCAGTAGTAGTTATAATTCATTTTAGTCAGACAAATTTTTTTACAGTTCTCTAACTCTTATATTAGTAGTTAATGTATTTTACAATAAGAAAAAAATTAAAATTCATGTAATGTAATTTTTATATTTATTTTGTAAGTTTTGTATATCAGTAGTAAAAATCGATTTTAGTCAGACAAAAACTAATTAAAAGTTTACAATTTTCGTTTCAGTAGTAAAAGTGTTTTTGAAGTCAAACATCTTATGAAATCATTATAAATTTAGTATCAGTAATAAATCATATTTTAGTCAGACAAAATGGATTAAATTCTTGTAAATTTAATAGCAGTAGTAAAAATCAGTTTTAGTCAGACAGAACTATTTGAATTCCTCTAAATATTTTATCAGGAGTTATAGTCAATTTCGGTTAGAGTGAAATAATTTTACTCTTGTAATTGTAGTTTCAGTAGTAAAGGTACGTTATAAAGTCAGACATCTGTTAATCAGTATTTGAATGAATTTAAGACAGAAATTAAAATAAAATTTAGTATCAGTAGTAAAAACCCGTTTTAGTCAGACAAATATTATTTTTGGAATTAGTAGTAAAAATCCGTTATAGTCTGACATCTGCTAAAATTCTTATATACATTCAAAATCAGTAGTAAAAACCCATTTTAGTCAGACTAATGCTAATTGTTTTTAAATTTCGTATCAGTAGTAAAATTCAGTTTAAGTCAGACAAATATTATTTTTGGAATTAGTAGTAAAAATCCGTTATAGTCAGACATCTGCTAAAATTCTTATATACATTCAGAATCAGTAGTAAAAACCCATTTTAGTCAGACAAATGCTAATTGTTCTTAAATTTCGTATCAGTAGTAAAACTCAGTTTAAGTCAGACACAACTATTTTAATTCTTCTTACGTTATCAGTAGTAAAAGTAAATTTCAATCAGACTTTACACATTTCTATACACGGAAAAAATGAATTACCTAGAAAGGCGAAACGTTTCAAAAGTAGCAAAAGTTGTACTTGTTTTAGTTAAATCTTTCGCTATTCTAGTCAAACCTTTAGCTGTTTTAGGTAAATATTTATTTTGTTTTCTTTTTCTTTCTCACAAGAAATTAAGAAAAAAAATGCTCAACTTAAAAAATTAAAATATATATATATTATTTTATTCTATATCTTAAAAGTGTCATTTCTAAATAAAATTTGAAAATTTTCGCAAACTATACTAAAAATATGACATATCTTTTTTGATAAAATGAAATTTTCGTTTCCCATATATATATATTTCCCAGTGATGCTTTTACTGACAGTCGACCAAACTTGATAGTTGATACATTTGATAACACACAGTATATATCGGATAAGTTCGCCTTCGGCGCTCGTGTATAGACTATTATATGTTCGAAGAATCTAGTATGAGATCTTTAACGCGTTACAAATATCAACTCTTGAAATGTAATACATCCTTGCTTCTGAAGTTTTAGAAACTTATATAAATATGTATATATATATATATATATATATATATATATATATAACATATAATATTTCATTTAACTTATTATTGAAAACATAATAAAATTTTATTCACAACTATTTTTCAATAAAATTATAATATAATAATAGCACAAAAGAGTTTAACATTAGAGAGAAATTTCCAAAAATTAATTTTATCCCCCCCCCTCTCTCTCTCTCTCTCTATGTTCGCTCTAATTTTCACTAACTTATTTTATGCTAATGAAATATTAGCATAAAATTATCTATTCAAGTTTCAAGAGTAGCACAACCTATATTATGTTTGTATGAAATATATTTAATAATAATAATAAAAATATAATAAAAATTATTATAATAAAATAATAAAAATTATTATTATTATAGAAAATGAATGTTTAATTTTAAAAAATAATTGAAATATGTATGTACTTCATGAGAAATTTTTTTTTTTTTTTTTACAACTAATGAGAAGAAATTGTAAAAATTTATGAAATTTTTTTATGTATAAGATGTAAAGAAACAAAAGGTTACTTTTTCCAGACTAACTATTCACATCTACGTAGTGAATATATGTTAAATTTACTTGTGTGTATATATATATATATATGTATATAGTTCCTAGTCCTAAGGGGGTTTCTTCATCAAAGAGAATTCTGCTATGAACTCCAGTAGCAAAGCATCCTATGTGCACTTATCGATTGAAATGCATGTACGAAAGACCAGTAAAGGTGTCCTGAGTAAATTTACATAATTGGTACATAGCTTTATTCACATTTGCGTGTGTAAAACATTTTTCGTAATGTATATTTAAAACTTATACAGTTGCACGTGAGAACGCGAACACACTTTTATTTTCCAGAAAAAAGAGAGGAAAAAATAAAAAAATTCATCCCTGTTTATAACTTCCTTTAAAAAAAAAAAAAAAAAAAATCCCCAACACCTTTATATATATATTTGATCCAAATATAAATAAATTTTTCTAGTTACAGAATTTTTTTTTAAGTTAAATTAACTTTATTTTAATAATCAAGGAATTTAAAAAAAAAATTATTTTAATTTTAAAATATTAATAAAATTTTTTTATTTGATATAATTTTCAATATATTTTGATTACATATAATTATTTATTTATATTTTTCACTTTATTTTCTAATAAAAATATAAAATTATATTAATTATATAATATTATATAATTATATTATTAACTAAATAATTCATTAGTTAATTATAGATAATAGAAATTTGATTTTGTGACTAACGATGTGATGTTAAATTAATTATTTTTAATTAATAAATATATGTTATTTAGATTTAGAGAATATTAATTATAAATTTTACTACAAACTTGATATGTTTAATAACATAGTCAACTTTGCCCTCGGCGTTTCAAGTAGATTATGTCAAATTATGCAATCAAAATCGATTAACAATTGTAAATATCAAGAAGGATTAATAAACAATGACATATATTTGTAAATATATATATATATAGACGAATAATCTGGATTTGATCCTTTTAGCACGTGCCAATAACAAAGTTAATTGCATAGTACAAAGTTAAATCTAGGTGAAATGTATATAACATATAATATTGATTTCAGATTTCTAGATAACATACATGCGAATATATATAATATAATAATTATAGGAAAATGAGAAATAAATTAACGTGAATAATTGAAAAGAATTATATAATGCTTGTTGTTTTCCAAGATATCACATTATTGATTTCGGATAAACAAGCTTTACAAAGGAATAGAATTAGAAAATAAATGTTTTGCAATTGGTTAAAAAAAAATCGTTTTTTAAAATCAGAACAATTATTCTACTAATCAATATAGTCAGATTTAAATAGAAATTTACTATTGTAAAAATAATTACTATTAACAAAAAAATATTTTATTTGTATCGAAATAATTATTATTTGAAATATTTGTTTTAAATAAATAAATTATTGCTTCAAATATACAGTTTTATTAATTTAATTATTTGATTTAAAAAATTATTTGCTTCAATTAAATATTTATTTTTAGTCAAACAAACGATAATTTTTAAATAAATTTTTGTTAATTATTTATTTGAAATATTAATTGTTTTTAATAAAATTTTAATTTCAAGACTGATATCAAACTGAGATTGATGGTTAATTCATCAAGTGTTGGGAAATGTAAAATGCAAATAGGAACGCATTAATGTTTTGTGAATGCATATATATATACATACATACAGTTTGCAAATGTCTTTAAGAGCATCCCAGCATTGATATATATATCTTGTATCACAAATCGATGCCTTTAGCTGCCCATCAATCGGACACTTTCGATCCAAACAGCATACCCGCAGAGGTTCTTCGCTTTTCCATTATTGATTTATCGCGCAATGTTGTGCATTGCAATATAAAAAGCTTTTATTTTAGATTCAACAAAACTTTATATATTATAACTTACATAGACAAAAAAAAAAATAAAAGAACAACTCGTTCTACAACTAAAAAAAAAACACAATTTTATAAAAGACAAGTAAATAGAAAAACTTTTTTCTTTGAAATAAAATTATTATCTATTTTTCTTTTTATATAAACAAATTTTAATTTGTTATTATTATATTTTTGTTTTTAACAAAATATTCCAAAAAGAGTAATTAAAATAGAAAAATATAAATTTTTTTTTTCGTTAATAAACAAATATATGACAGGATATAAATATGGAAAACAATAATTAAAACAAAAATTATAGAGGTACGTCTCTAGCCAATTTTGAATATTTTGCTCATAATACGTTTACTACTTTGCAGGACATATTCCACATTAACAAGAGAGCGTGATACAAAGTTTTATTATTAGGATATATGCTACAAGTTAGAATGGGGTCGATTTTAGCTAGTTTAAGAACAATCCCTTCCCGCATAATCTCTGCTTAACAGAATGGGGAAAAACTGTCCCAGGCTTCGTTAACTTACATGGTTGTAATATCTACACAGATTTCCCCACGGCAAATGAAAAAAAAAAATTTGAAAAAATATTTTTTTTATGCATATATTTGTATATTATAAATATTTTCATATTTTTCTATTTTAATATTTTAATAATTCTATTTTAATTTTCAATTTAAAAATAATAATTGGAACTAGTTTTTTTTAAATTAATTTTTAATTTAAAAATACTCTTTTTTTTAAACAAATTTATTTTGATAATAAAATTAGATATATATAATAATAAAACTTACATAATAATGATTAGAACTATATGGTTATGATTTAGCATTCTGATGGGATGCAAAATCGACTACCAAGGTGGGTCCTTTATCGTTATTCAACACGTTCAACGCTAGTGGACCCCACAACGACGTGGGCTTAAGTAAACTCCATCCCCTCTGCGAATAATTAAACGATTTAAGTTAGACAATCAACGCAAATCGCATATCACACTCTAGCAATTAGTATATGGATGTACGATGGATATATAGTCATGCAAATGAATTTGAATTTGTCATTTGCCAGTTAAATATTAAAAATTTCAATTATTTCCAATTTACTTCCACTATAAAAAAAAAAAAAAAAAAAAAACATCTAACAAAAAAATCTAAGTATCAAATTAATATTAAAAGTATCCAAAACAAAAATAAAAAATATTAAAATATTAAAAAATTGAATAAATTTGATACTTTTGATATTTTCATTTTTTTTTATTTTTTTATAAAATACTATTTTAAAAATCACGTTGTTAATATATAAAAGAAACCGTATTTTCTTGTTTAACGAAAGGACGGCACCGATAAGTCCAACAAGATTGAGTGGCAAACTTTTCGTTTCAAAGTACGATTGAGTATGTCGGATAAACTGCACGTAGACTTTGAAAACTTGGCTGATTTTCTTACAAGCGATAGAGAGAGAGAAGAATTGCAAGTTTCACGCGTGTAAAATTTACATATAGCGCACATTTTTTTTTCGTGAAAAAAATAAATATATATATAAAAAAAAAAATTAATTTGTTTTCATTTTCGTTAAAAAATTTGATATACAATACATTTAAAAACAGTGTATATATATAATATACGACGGTACATTAAAAAATAAAATTAAAAAATATATATGTACCTTTTTAACACATAATTGATAGATGAAGAAAATTGGTAATGGAGCAAGTGTAGAAACTCCGATTAGAACACCAAGTACACCGGCCCATTCAGGAAATTCGTAATCTCCATAACTTGGAAGACGGTACGTGTACATTTGATAGCCGAACACACCCTGCAATATAAAATAAAAAAAAAACGTATAACTGTCACAAATAACTTTTTTTTATTAATTATAATAAATATTAACTGCTTGAACGAATATATTTCTTTTTTAAAAAAAGTTTAATGTAAAAGTGAAACAAATATTCAATAGTCAGACAGAATATTTAAAATATAGACAATTTTTTTTTTAACTGAAAATACGTAAGAACTTTTTTTTTTAGTTCTTGGAACTGTTATATCAGTAGTGATAGTCAGTTTTAGTGAGACAACGATTTTTAAATTCACGTAACTCATAGAATCAGTAGTTACAGTTCATTTTAGTCAGACAATTTTTTTTTACTTTTATAACTCTTATATTAGTAGTTAAAGTACGTTACAGTCAGACAAAAATTAAAATTCATGTAATGTAATTTTTTATTTTAATTTTGTAAGTTTTTATATGTCAGTAGTGAAAGTCAGTTTTAGTCAGACAAAAAATATTTTCATTTTTTAACTAATTAGTAGTTAAAGTATGCAATTGTCAGACAAAAATTAAATTTAATGAATAATTTTTTTTTAAATTTTGTTAGTTTAGTAACAGTAGTAAAAGTCCTTTTTAGTCAGACAAAAAGTAAATGAAATAAAATTAATTAAACTTCTGTTTTTTAACATTTTAGTTTAGTAACAGAAGTGGAAGTCCGTTTAAGTCAGACATTTTTATTTAAATTTTGTAACTATTATATTAGTAGCTAAAGTATATTATAGTCAGACAAAAATTAAAATTTAAGTAATGTAATTTTTTTTCATTTTGTATATTTAGTAAATCAGTAGTAAAAATCCGGTTTAATCAAACACGAGCAAAATACATTTTTTAATTTTAGTATTAATAGTAAAACTTCTTTTTATTTAGGCAGCTATTGAAATTCTTATAAATTAAATATCAGTAGTAAAATTGCATTTTAGTCAGACAACTGTTAATTTTTTTATCAATTTAGTATCAGTATTAAAATTCAATTTTAGTTAAACAGAACTAATTTAAGTTTTTTATTTTGAGTGTCAGTAGTAAAAGTAGTGATAGTCTGTTTTAGTCAGACAACGATTTTTAAATTCTCGTAGCTCATCAAATCAGTAGTAGTTATAATTCATTTTAGTCAGACAAATTTTTTTACAGTTCTCTAACTCTTATATTAGTAGTTAATGTATTTTACAGTAAGAAAAAAATTAAAATTCATGTAATGTAAGTTTTATTTTTATTTTGTAAGTTTTGTATATCAGTAGTAAAAATCCGTATTAGTCAGACAAAAACTAATTAAAAGTTTACAATTTTCGTGTCAGTAGTAAAAGTGTTTTTTTGGTCAGACATCTTATGAAATTATTATAAATTTAGTATCAGTAATAAATTATATTTTAGTCAGACAAAATGGTTTAAATTCTTGTAAATTTAATAACAGTAGTAAAAATCAGTTTTAGTCAGACAGAACTATTTGAATTCCTCTACATATTTTATTAGTGGTATTAGTCAATTTCGGTTAGAGTGAAATAATTTTACTCTTGTAATTGTAGTTTCAGTAGTAAAGGTACGTTATAAAGGCAGACATCTGCTAATCAGTATTTAAATGAATTTAGGACAGAAATTAAAATAAAATTTAGTATCAGTAGTAAAAACCCGTTTTAGTCAGACAAATATTATTTTTGGAATTAGTAGTAAAAATCCGTTATAGTCAGACATCTGCTAAAATTCTTATATACATTCAGAATCAGTAGTAAAAACCCATTTTAGTCAGACAAATGCTAATTGTTCTTAAAGTTCGTATCAGTAGTAAAACTCAGTTTAAGTCAGACAGAACTATTTTAATTCTTCTCAGTAGTAAAAGTATGTTTCAATCAGTAGTAACAGTCCGTTATAGTCAGACATCTACTAATCAGTATTAAATTCAAATTAAGAATGAAATTAGAATCAAATTTAGTACTAGTAATAAAAATCCGTTTTAGTCAGACAAATATTATTTTTGGGTTTTAGAATCAGTAGTAAAAGTCCGTTATAGTCAGACATCTGCTAATCAGTATTAAATTCAAATTAGGGATAAAATTAAAATAAAATTTAGTTTTAGTAGTAAAAACCCGTTTTAGTCAGACAAATATTATTTTTGAGTTTTAGATTTAGTAGTAAAAATCCGTTATAGTCAGACATCTGCTAAAATTCTTATATATATTCAGAATCAGTAGTAAAAACCCATTTTAGTTAGAAAGCAAAGATGCTAATTGTTTTTAAATCGCGTATCGGTAGTAAAACTTAGTTTTAGTCAGACAGAACTATTTTAATTCTTCTCAGTAGTAAAAAACCGTTTTAGTCAGTCAACTACTAAAATAATTCCAATCAATTCCAATAAATAAAAAATTATTCCAAGTAAATAATATTTATTTAATTAATTAAATTTAATTAATTTGCCATTAACTACAAACTCTTTTAAGATAATAAAATTATATTAATTTCTACATATCTGATTGAACATAAGATATTTAATAATGGACTTTTTTGATGGCAAATGTCAAGTTCTCTCGTACATCATCGAATATTTTTATTCACTGTTAATAAAAGGGATTCCACGGGAAAGAGAAAAATATCAATGATAAATTTCCATTTATTCTTCTCTATATGAAAAAGAATTGTGTTTTGTATAATCGATTATTATTAAAAAGTATAAATGAACTTTAATCAACAATCCTTTATTTTTTTTTGAAGAGGAGAAGGAGGAGGAGGAGGAATAACAGTTGAATTTCAATGATAGGAGAAAGTCGTTCATTAACTCTCTGACTCAGCTTCAGTACAGTAGCCCCCCAGGACAATAGCATAATACACCTGAAAACCACTGATCCACACAGAAGTTGAATTGTGCAACTGTCGGCAACATAATTGATTTCAGGTACAAAGTTTCCACTTCCATAGGGACTATAAGTATGTCAAATCTAAATATTTCATGGAAGAGTTACTTTAAAATTAATTCAAAATATAATTTTTTGCATTTAATTATTAAAAGAAAATAATTACTAAAATAATTAATAAAATTATTTAAGTTATATATCAGATATTTATTATTCATCTTCGAGACAAATTCGATTAAGTTGTTAAAATTATTTCTCTGATATTGATTAACTGAAATTTTTTAAAATAAATAATTAATTTTTACTTGTGGTTTATTTTAAAAAAGTATTTTTCGCAACAAAATTAAAAAAAATTGAATTTCTTTTTTTTCAAAATGTACAATAATAAAAAGTTCAATTTTATTCAATTTTGACTCTATATTCGCTTTATATATATATATATATATATATATATCAAATGATAGCAATCAACTTTTTGATGACGCTATAAAATAAATATTACGATGGGTCTATGAATAAATTGCAAAAGTTTTTCGTAAACACTTACTTTATAACATCGTCATCATCTAGTGTAAACTGTAATAAAACCAGTACTTTCAAGAAGCCCTATATATGTATACAAATATCAAAAGTTACCTTTCCAGTTAAATAAACCGTTTTAAAATGAATTTCATATTTATTTCACATTATGGTTTTTATGTTCAGTCAAGTGCGTTAATTGCCCCACAGTTGGTAACAAATTTTTTCATAGGCTATTAAACCTACTGATTAATTTAATTTCATCAATTAATAATCTACAAAAAAAAAAAATAAATAAAAAATTCAAGAAGAAATTCCTTAATGAAAAAACATTTTTTTTTCTGTGGCGTCAAAAAAAAATTGAAATCTAATAAAGTTTATCACGATTCAAAGAAAATTTTTTTTATAGCAAAATATCGAAGGTAAGAAAAGTCAATATAGTTGATAAATTCAATGTATAAATCTTTCAACATTTTTTCTTTTTTTTTTTTTTATTATTTTATGCGACTGACTCACCCATTCAATAACGGACCAGTTTGTGGTCAATATACCGTTGGAGCTTAAACCGCAAATGCAGTAGCACGTGTTGAGTACATTTATTGGTATAAATTTCACAGAACACTTTGTAATAATGTATGAAGTGTCAGAAATTTGTTCGATTTTGATATGTGCACATAATAAGAAAATTTGATATTTTTTTTATTCAACACGCGTCAGTCGCAAACATTTTTTTTTTTTTTTTTTTTTTCACTCTGACACTATCTAAGGAGAATATTTTTTATTAACTGATATTTCCAATTGAAGTAAAGAAAAAATTACATTTGCAAAATAATTTTTATTCAATCGGTTATTTGACTAAATTAAAAAATTATGAAATAAATATTTAAATAATTAATTTAATTAAATGATATTTGTTTCAAATACAGAAATTATGGTTCTGAATACAATTTATTTAATTAAAATAAAAACTATTTGATACAAATAAATAATATTAACTTGATATAATAAGAATAATCGATTACTTGAATAAAATAAATTTGTTTTCAGAAATATAGAAGTTAAAAATAGAATAATTAAAAAAATATATTATTTACATTTTTTCAATTATAATAATATTTATTTATTTTTATAATAAATTTTTTTTCAATATACACATCTCTTTTCACAGGGATGTAATAAAGAAATATTGAAATTACAAAACAGGACTATTTTTTAATAAGCAAATAAATATTCTCAATTTTATTAATATAAAGTTCGCAATATACCGTTATATAATTTTTTTTTCTTTCTTTAAATAAAGAGACAGTAGAAAAACGCGCTGAAAAAAATGTTTTCTTTTTTAACTAAATATACAATTTTTTTATATTAATACAATTTTTCGTTTATTAAAATAAATAAATTTTCAAACAAAGAATTAAAGAATTTAATTAAGCCGAATAAGTCTTTGGTTTGAATCAAACAAAAATTTTGTTAACAGTATAGCAATAATGCATTTGGTTGATTTAATCAAAATTTTTATTATTTCAAACAAATTTTTTTTTCTGAGAATTCGAAAATAACGAAGCATTTGAATAATGATAGAATTAAAATAATCAGAATTTCATTTTTGTCATTTTACATTTTTGTAAAATTTTGAATATTGTGTGTGTAATACGAGAGCCACGAGAAACAATTTTCATTAGTGCACCCATTAACGAGAAAAAGTAGAGAGAGAGGGAGAGAGAGAAACAGAGAGATAGGGTAAGAAACTTGCTGCGTTAATAAATAAGAAACGAACCTTGGGCGCTTGAGTTTATAAACCATGTGGAAATATACCTTCTTCTGGCAAAGAGAAAAGAAGGCAAATTTCTTATTACAGAATGGAGGGTAAAAAAAAAAAGTTCCTTTTGTTTCGTAGGAAATTATGTCTTCAATTTAAAAAAGGTCATTACAATAAACTGAAGAACAAGTCGCGTGGTTTCAAAAAGACTTATTTTTCAATTTAAAAATAAATGTCTTTTAGTGTCTACTTAATAATATGTCTTCTAAAAACAGGTGTCTTGTAAAATATATTTTTTTTTTATATATATTTGTTTCTTATGTTCCAAAAAAAAATTGTCTTATTTTAAAACATTTTAGTGTCTTTTTTACGAAAAATAAAATATTAATTATAATTAAAATTAATAATTTTACAGAAAATGTTTTAGTTTTAAATAATTAAGACACCGTGTTTTTTTTTTTGCATTAATGAAAGTAATTTTTTCTTGTTCTTAAATTTTAGAATAAAAAAAAAATTTTTTTTTTTTTTGTTTACAAAAACTAAAACATTGATATGACTTAACAGCTGCAGGCGACTGTCGTTGTTCGTTAAATGGAATTTTTTCGTCTTCGGTAAATTTCAGCACACCAGAGTGGACACGTTTACCTAGGAGAATGGGTGGAAAAAAAAATCGCTGAATTATTCCAGCATGTCCCGGATACGAGTGAGTGTTTCTCTTTCTAGGAGGAACACTCGCGCGAAATCCGATCGTTCGCGTCGCAGCTGCACTACTTTTCCGAATCCCGGACGTTTGAAGTGTAAGCGACCGAATAACGAATTTAACCTTCCACATTTCACAACGACCGAAATCGGACAGAAAATATTTTCTCTAAGAACAATGACTCTATATAGCAGGCTTGACACTTTTCTATATTAAAAAAAACTTATTTAGTTATTTAACCCTTTATCCATTACTCAATAAAATGTAGAAAATTATTTTTATTTAAAAAAAAAATTTTAAGTAATAATAATAATTCGAATATAAAATGAAAATTTATTTGAAGATAGAAAAAATTTTTAAATTAAAATAATAAAATATTTGGAAAATTCATTACTTTTAAAATTGTTTCTTTTTCAGATAAAGAAATATTTTTTTTGCCATAACTCACTACTTGAAAAATCTAAAAAAGAAACAGTGGATTCATTTAGTGAATGTTAATAAAGAAAAATAAGAAATGGTTTTTTTTTGGCGAGAAATGTATAGTGGATATGGGTAAACAATTGATAACTTCATATTGATAAGGAATATCCAAACATAAATAAATTGTTCTTTGACAGTGACAAATCTTTGTCGAGTTAGCAAAATTTTTCGCTTACCAGACACGAAATGATCAGTGCGCGATAGCAAATTACTTTGCTGTCGTAGAAAAAGAACTTTTTTTTTTTTTTTTTTTCCTCCGACTTTTCAACAAACCCCCGAGTTTTGTTCCACTTGCCAAAAGATTACTTCAACAGAGTCCAATATTTAAAAATCTGCACGAGGAAGAATTTTTAGTGGAAGAAATTGATTTTAATTATTTTTTTTTCTTTTTTCTTTTATTGGTTAACACAGAAAATTAAAAGGCATTAAAATAAGCTGCTATTATTTTTATCCAATTTTGCTTATTTTAATATCAAAATGGATTAAAAAAAGCAAAATTGGATTAAAATAATAAGCGTTGCAGCTTATTTTAATGCCTTTTAATTTTCTGTGAATATATTAAAAATGAAATCTAATTTACTAGAATATAATTTGATATAATATTAAGAAAAAAAAATAATAAGAAAAATTTATCAATAAGGAAAATATTCATTGAACATACACTCTACAATTGAATTAGTTAAAAATCGTAAACTATTTTATAAATTAGTCAAAAATTTCTCTATACTAAATTTAAATAATTTTTTACTAAAACTTTAATTCAGATGTATTACTATAGAAAATAGCAATATTTTACTGAAAATTAAAAATTTTCAGTCATTTTTCACAAAAAAAAAGTTAGTAAAGAAAAAATATTACTAAATGAACTAATAATATTCTACTAAAAATTAATGAAAATTTTTACTAATTTTTAGTCATTTTTTACTATAATTTTAACAAACTAATATTACTAAATCAAATAGTAATATTTTACTAAAAATTAATGAAAATTTCTAATTTTTAGTTAATTTTTAGCTAAAAATTTAGTAATGAAAAAATATTACTAAATAAAATAGTAATATTTTACTGAAAATTAGTGAAAATTAAAAATTTTCAGTCATTTTTCACAAAAAAAAGTTAGTAAAGAAAAAATATTACTAAATGAACTAATAATATTCTACTAAAAATTAATGAAAATTTCTACTAATTTTTAGTCATTTTTTACTATAATTTTAACAAACCAATATTACTAAATCAAATAGTAATATTTTACTGAAAATTAGTGAAAATTTCTAATTTTTAGTTAAATTTTAGCTAAAAATTTAGTAAAGAAAAAATATTACTATAAATAAAATAGTAATATTTTACTGAAAATTTGTGAAAATTTTCACAAATTTTTCATCATTTTTCACTACAACTTTAGTACACGAATATTACTAAATCAAATATAGTACCATTTTACTAAAAATTCGTGAAAATTTCTAAATTTTAGTTATATTACTAAAAATTTAATAATGAAAAAATATTACTAAATCAAATAATAATATATTACTAAAAATTAATGAAAATTTCTACTAATTTTTAGTCATTTTTTACTACAATTTTAATAAACCAATATTACTAAATCAAATAGTAATATTTTACTAAAAATTAATGAAAATTTCTAATTTTTAGTTAATTTTTAGCTAAAATTTTAGTAAAGAAAAAATATTACTAAATAAAATACTAAAATAGTAATATTTTACTGAAAATTTGTGAAAATTTCCACAAATTTTTCATCATTTTTCACTACAACTTTAGTACACGAATATTACTAAATCAAATATAGTAGCATTTTACTAAAAATTCGTGAAAATTTCTAAATTTTAGTTATTTTTCACTAAAAATTTAATAAAGAAAAAATATTACGAAATCAAATAGTAATATATTACTAAAAATTAGTAAAAATTTCTACTAAATTAAATTCTCACCATTTCAAATTTAGAAAATAATTTTCATAGATGAAAAAAAAAATTTATTTAATTCAAATAATCAATTACTTTATTATTATCGCAAATAAATATTAATTTGCATATTAAATAATAAATTATTATTTGAATCAATTAAATGTTATTTTTTTCAAATACAGAAATTATTGGTTCAAAAACAAATTTATTTTATTTAAAAAAAATGCAAATAATCAAAAAATTGTATTAATAGAAAAAAAAATGGTACATTTAATTAAAAGAAAAAATTTTTCTCGAAATTTGTTATTAAAATAATGCATCACAATTTACTGCACTGAAATAAAAAATTCAAATAAATATTGAAGCAAATAATTTTTATTTAAATTAAAATAAATTTGTATTTGTACCAATAATTTCTGTATTTGAAATAAATACCATTTAATTGATTCAAATAATAATTAATTATTTGATTTAAATAATCAATTATTTGAATGAAATAAATTTTTTTTTTCATTGTGTCAACCAATTTATTTGAATGAAATAAATTTTTCTTCATCGTATAATTAAGACAGTGTTCTCTAGTGATTAAACACGTTGAAATGAACTAACACCCTTGGTAAACAAATCCTCTTATTTAAATGAGGGTAAATAGTCAAAATCCTCTAAATCAGAAAGCTATATATATATAACAGAAATCAATTGTTCTAATATTTTGAAACTAGAAATTGAATCTTATTCGTGCCAGGTGAAATTTCTCCACACGTGAAATAGATAACGTTAAATTAAAAAAAATTTTTTTTTTTCTTTTTTTTACCCAGATGTAGGATATGCGTGTGGAAGATCCACAAATCCCATACAACAAGTTGAAACCGTGTTACGTCCGGGAATAGATATATCGAGAAGGCGGGCGCTCTCAAATGTATATACTCACCAAGGCGGTAATCGGTGCAAGCACGATCCAGCTGAGCCGCCAATAGCTGTACAGTAAACATCCGAAGTTCATTTGCATTTCCGTGATGTTATGCAGAAATTTGTTGCATCCGTAGAACCACGATGCAAGTACAACCTCGGCAAAACCGATCAATAGTATCGCCCAGGATGCTGTGTTCCAGTCCATCAGAGTGAACAGGTAAATTCCACCATTGAAAACCATAGGTATTGCCAATAACCAGCACGTTGCGCATATTCCCAAAATCACATAAGTCTCATATTTTCGGAGATTTGGACGTAGATCGAGTATAACGGTGCTAATTGTTTGTATGCCTGCAAACTAGAAATGATAAACAATACCTTTTGAAATATATATATATACGCTTAATGTACCAAATATATAAATCATGTCAATATGAACTATATTATGGGAACACAAAAGAACATGTCCTGCATATCAAAGTCAGAATATATATATATATATAGAGAGAGAGAGAGAGAAATTTTCGACCATCGATATTCGTTGACTGATTAATCGAAAATCTGTGATGATATCCACGGAGAAAAATGCGTTAACGAAAAAAAAAATGCATCGTTCTCCATGGTTATTGTCCAGTGATCTCATTTGCATTTCATTTTTAAATTTACATTTTTAAAATATAGTCTTTGGCCCAAACTATCAAATATACTACCTATATATACGAAATTCTCATTATTTTTTTGCATATATCCCATTTGATTTTCGATCAAAAATTTTTAATCTTTCATCGAATATTATATATATATATATATATATATATATATAAAATAAATAAAATGAAACGCATCCCAGGTAGAAAAATTAACGTTACTGACGTTACTAATATTACTAACGTTAGTACCTATTTTTACTTCCACTTTTTTATTTTCATTACCGTTTCAACTTCCACTTTTTCTAATTCTCATTCCCATTTTCACTTCCACTTTTTTATTTACATTACTACTTCCACTTCCACTTTTTCTTATTCTCATTCGCACTTGCATTCCCACTTCCACTTTTTCTAATTCTCAATTCCACTTTCACTTCCACATTCACTTTTTATAATTTTCATTCCCATTTTCACTTTTTTATTTTCATTACCACTTCCACTTTTTCTAATTTTCATTCCCACTTCTACTCCCATTTTTTCCACTTCTAATTTTTATTAGCTGTTGCCATTTCGACTAAAACTCTTTCTAATTTCCATTTACACAACCATTTCCACTTTTTTTAATTACAATGGATGGAAATTAAAAAAAGTGAAAGTGGTAATGGAAATTTAAAAAATAGGAATGGGAGTGGGAGTGAAAATATAAAAAATTTGTAATGAAAATAAAAAAGAGGAAGATGCAATGGGAACGAAAATTGGAACAAGTGGAAGTGAAAGTGGGAAAGAGAATTAGAAAAAGTGGTAGTGGCAATGAATACACTGAAAGAAAATTCATACTACTAAGTATTAAACTCATATTAGAGTTTAATATAAATGTTACAATTTAGGGAAAAAGTGCACCTATACTGATTACTATTACAGTTTTTATGAAAATATATAATGAATTTAAGAGTAACTATTATTTTAAGAAATAAAAATTAGTATATTTATTTTAAAAATTAGTATTTTCTTTATGAATTCACAGAATACGAAATATTATAATAAATAATTTCACAAAATAGTAAGAAAAATAACATATATCCGTATACTTATTTCACATTTTGTAAAACTTTATATTAAAAGTCACGGATTTTCCCGAGAGACTACGAATTTAACCGAAGTTCTGTCTGCTTGCGGCTTCGTGTCCTACTCGAACTTCTACGACTTGATCCGATTTTCGAAAGTGTTGTTAACCAGCAGAACGTACCTATCAACTGTCAACACACGTGTTTCAAATGTTTATAGTGCCACAGAAAACATTTATAATTATTAAATTTATTATTATTTTTATTAATTATTATTTTTTGATGTCATCTTTACAATTATTTGATTTTTATTTGCAATAAAAATTTTTATAACAATCATAATTTTTAATCTGAAAAAAAAGAAACATCTATATAAACAATTAATAATAAAAATGAACCCAGCGTAACCTCTATAAAATTACACCATTGGCACTAGTAAACTATTTTTTATTATTAAGTTATTATAAGTAAACTTCTTTCTCGCAAGTGGTAAAAATATTCAGTAGTTAGTATATAAGAAAACGATATATGCCGACCCCCAGCGAAATTTATCGTTATGCGTATAGAATTGTAAGTGTAGGTTTCGTTGCGATCGTGTAATGTCTATGTATAAGCGAAATGAACGTGCGTGTTCATTAGTATGTGTGTTAACCTGTATCGTAAGTGTGAATGTGTTGTTCCTAGTCTCACTCCTCTTCCTCCCGAGAATTAACGGAAACGTCCGAGTTTCCACTTTTTTTCCCTTTTCTTCCGACATTCTGAATTTTTCGTATAAAGTTTTACAAATATTAGAACGCTACATTCCATATAATGCAACAACTCTATGAGAATTTAATATAATATTTTCAAATATTGGTAATCTTTTTACGTTCTTTCTACAATAATTATTAATATTTGAAAAAAGATTTTAAGTTGGAACTTTAATATAAAGTATATTGAATTTTAATAAAAAGTACACTTTTCCCTAAATTCTAAAAGAATATATTAAAATGTAATACGCATTTTGTTATTTTTTCCTATGAAATTTCTTTCAGTGTATAAAAAACTGGAAGTGGAAATAGGAATGGGAATGAAAATTAGAAAAAGTGAAGTGAGAATGAGAATTAGAAAGAGTGGAAGTGAGAATGGAAGTGCGAATGAGAATTAGAAAAAGTAGAAGTGGAAATGGGAATGAAAATTATAAAAAGTTTAAGTGGAAGTGAAAGTGGTAATAGGAAAGTAGTGGCAAAGTTTCTGCGAGAATATATTTTAGAAACTTTTAATTTTTATATAGGTACTAACGTTAGTAACATTAGTAACGTTAGTAACATTAGTAACGTTATGAACGTTAGTAACATTAGTAACGTTAGGAACGTTAATTTTTTCACCTGGGATGAATAAAAAAAATCATAAAATTCATTAATTAGAATCTTTATTTTTAAGTATATTTTATTAAAAATAATTTTTTTTTTAAAGGAATTTTTTTAATTTTCGAATTAAAATTTTATACATTTTTATACGAATTTTTAATTGAGAAAATTTTTCACTTTTCCGAATTTTCATTTGTCCGAAATTACACATAGCGGAATAAAAAAAATTGACAGAAATATTACGGCGCATTTTTTTTTAAATTGACCAGAAATTATCAAGAAAATTGTGAATGGACAATTTTAAAAATTGCGCTGAAATAATTTTTTTCTTTCTGCTATTTATAATATTTCGGACAAATGAAAATTCGGTGTATTAAAAAATTCATAAAAATAAAAAAAATTAGATCCATTAAAAATTCGTACAAATAAAACTTCAGACAAAGAAAATTCAATGAATTGGAATTTCTGTTATTTAAAAATTCGAATCACATATAAAATTCAACTAAATGAGAATTCTGCTGAATTTAATATTTAATTAAATTAAAATTCTTTGAAAATAAAATGACACGTTAAGAAAATAACTGAAAAATAAAAATTTCGCAAAAACAACAAATTCGGTCGCTATATATAAAAAAATTTTGTTTAATAAAAATTTGTATAAAAAGTAAATTCTGCGTCTAATTCGATAAATGAAAATTCGTCTAAAAATTAATTATTAATAAAATTCTTTAAAATGAAAATTCTAATTAATGATTTTTATATGAAAGGAAAAAAAAGTCATTAATTAATTAATTTTTTATTTTCCCTTATTGAAAATATTATTTTTATAAATTTATAAAATATATTATTTTTTAAATTCATATATGAAAAATTATTTAAAAGACAATTTTAACAGAAAGCTAATAATAATTTATAATTCGATTTAAAGATTAAAATAATTAATAAATTAATTCCCACTCTAATAAGACAGCGAAATTAATAAAATAAAAAATTATTTCATTCTTCACAATGACAGAAAATCATAATAAGAAAATATTTCCAGACAAATAAGAATTTAAAATGAAGTCGCGTTATAATATAAAATTGCATTCGTAAAAATAATTTTAACAAAACCACGCAGCTGTTTCTAAATGCAAAAAAAAAAAAAAAAAAAAAAATTTGCTTTTAAAATTAAAAATTTTTCACATTCAGCATATGAGACAATTTCTTTTTTTTTCTTTTTTTTTGTTTGTTTTTTTAATGAAAAAAATGTATCAAGTTAGAAAAAAAAACATTATTTATATGAGACTAGTGGGATTTCAAAGGAAGTTGTCTCTTGGCATTACTTGGCTGATTTTCTCTTCTTATTTTTCCAGTTAAAGCACACAAATACGCCTTTCCATCGCCACAATTCTCTTGGGTGCAATAGTGACACTTAGAGACTGGCATCTTTTTATCTTTCACTGCATATACTAAAGAAAAAAAAATGATAATAAAAAGATAGTAAAAAAATAATAAAATGCTAATAAAACCTGTATCCTTTTGAGAAATTGCCAAAGTTTTACATTTTTTATATAAAAGCATATATATAGTTTCGATTTATACATAAATCAATTTTAATTAGAGTTTTCTACCACCACTAATAATAATAATAATAATAATAATTTTGTTTATAAAAATTTTTCTATTGCAGCATAAAGAAGCTAATAAACTGTTAATTAAAAATTAATTATTTTTTGGTTTTAAAATAAAAATAAAAAAAAAATGTAAATGAAAAAATAAATTTAATAATTTTAGCAATGGCTGACCGTACGCCTATTTGTATCACTGAAAGGATCCTTCTTCACCGTTCTTTGCTTGTCGCACCTCAGGGACAGTATTTATATTTACATATATACGGGTTAAACATGTGAAAGAACGTGAATATTTCTCTCAGGAAAACTTTTTATATTATTTAAAAAAAAAAACAAATGAGTAAAAGAAAACATACTCCAATAAATCATAAGTAGAAAATACTGTTACTTCATTCGCGACTTAATTACATTCAATTTGTGAGACTTTGGGGAATATGAAAAATATCTTTTTATATTCCATACATTGAAAATATAAAGAAAATTTATATGATTCAAATAAGACGTTTACTTAACTATTATCAAATAAATATTTATATACTTAAACTAAATAATTTTTATTTGAATTAAATAAATTTTATTTGAATCAATAATTTTTTATACTTGCAAGAAATAAATAAATATATAAAAATTATTTGATTCAACTAAATATTTATTTAATAATAAACCGATTATTTGAATTGAATGAATTTTTTTTCAGTATATATATATATATATTAAAGAGCCATTGGTATATATATGAAATGAAAATTTCATTATATGCAAAATAGGAAAAATGCATGAAGTGTATATAAAAATTAAAATATAGTTAGACATAGTTATTCGTTTATAATACTTACTTGACTGCCGAGACCTAAAATGAAGAGCATAAAGAAGAATAGAATTGCCCAAAGGTTAGGAAGTGGCATTCGTACCACAGCCTCAGGGTATGCTATAAAAGCCAATCCTGTGTCGCTTTGGACCACTTCACTGATGGGTATATTCATCTGTTGCGCCAGGAAGCCCATTATGGAAAATATCGCAAATCCAGCAAAAACGGACGTTAACAGATTTGCAAGTGAAACGAAGATTGCATCTCTGTCAAAAAAAAAGAAGGACAATAATAATTGTTAAACAATGACAAGAATAAAAAATTTTCTTAAAAAATTTCAATTATTTTCAAATTATTTACAATTATTATCATATTATTATTATTATTATTATTATTATAGCGAGTTTTTAAATTGATATAACGAAATTGTTATTTATTTTTACTATTTATTTGTAAATTTGCAATGAATTGTCTGACTGAAAGTGATATTAACTATTGATACTAAACTTCACTATTTAATTATCTAAATACTAAAAAATATTTTACTGAAAACTACAATCACAAAACTTAAATTAGTACTGTCTGACCAAAACTGATTTTTACTACTGAAATTGAATTAACAGTAATTTAATCAGTATTGTCTAACTAAAAATAACTTTTACTACTGAAAACTAATATGACAAAACTGAAATTAGTTTTGTCTGACTCAAACGGACTTGTACTACTGATCTCAAAATTACAAGGACTTAAATCAATTCTGTCTGACAAAAAAAGGACTTTTACTACTTATACTAAATTTACAAGAATTTAATCAAAATTGCCTGACTAAAAAATAGTTTTACTACTTAAAACTAATATTATAGAATACAAATTAGTTTTGTCTGACCGAAACGTACGTTTACTACTGAAACTGAATTTACAGGATCATTGTCTAACTAAAAATAACTTTTACCACTGAAAACTAATATGACAAAACTGAAATTAGTTTTGTCTGACTCAAACGGACTTGTACTACTGATATCAAAATTACAAGGACTTAAATCAATTCTGTCTGACAAAAAAGGACTTTTACTACTTATACTAAATTTACAAGAATTTAATCAAAATTGCCTGACTAAAAAATATTTTTACTACTTGAAACTAAAATTATAAAATGCAAATTAGTTTTGTCTGGCCGAAACGTACTTTTACTACTGAAACTGAATTTACAGGATCATTGTCTGACTAAAAATAACTTTTGCTACTAAAAACTAAAATGACAAAACTTGAATTAGTTTTGTCTCATGCAAACGGACTTGTACTACTGATAGAAAAATTACAGCCCTTAACTATGTCTGACTATATCATACTTCAACCACTGAAAATAGAATTATAGAAATTTAACCAACTCTGCCTGACAAAAACGGACTTTTACTACTTATAATAAATTTACATGAATGTCATCATTGTCAGATTAAAAAATATTTATACTACTGAAAACTAAAATCATAAGACTCAAATTAGTTCTGTCTGACCGAATCGTACTTTTACTACTGAAACTAAATTTAAAGGACTTTAAAAATAATTCTCTGACTAAAAAAAACTTTTTCTACTAAAAAATAAAAGGGCAAAAACTTAAATTGATTTTGTCTGACTCAAACAGACTTTTACTACTACTAATAAAATTGCAGAACCTTACTATGTCTGATTATATAACAAACTTTAACTACTGATATGATAACTACTGAAATTTAAATCTTTCTGTCTAAAAATAACTTTTTCTACTAAACTCAAATTTGCCGCTAATGTTAAAAGAACAAAACTTTTTAATCAATTTTGTCTGACTAAAATTGACGTCTACTACTAATACAATAAAAAATACCATAGTTACAAGACTTTTTAAAACATATTGAATTTTTTATTGAAGAAGAAATTATTTTCTGCACTTTAAAATTGAAATTATCACCTCCACTAAATATTCGAATAGGAATCATATTGCACGCGGAAAATTCAATAAGAATCATCTTGCACACTATGGTATTTCAATAAGTATTCTATATGAGCGCGCAATGTCGTCAATTTTCTCACTTTTCAAGAATTTAGGGTGTTCTATTTTATTTCCCCTCCTTTTTTTTGCAGAGTATTCAATTTCAAGCTTAGAGTTTACATAATATGACACGCAACAAAACCACAAAAGCAGCCACAATGTGGTGACTCTTTAACCCAATATATTTACATATATATATATATATATAGGTGGTATAAAGTCACTTTGTAAATAAAGCACTATTAGTTGAAGGCCACTTTGGTTTGATGCACAGGACTAAAACATTCGCCATCGGTATTGTTTGAATTTGACTGTTTGTACGTCATCTAGATATAGGCGCATTGTTAGTACGGCATATTGAGACAGATTGATTATTTTATACCTGGAGCGCGGTTACGATAGAATCGATAGCAAGTATAGCCTATAAACATATTATATGTATATATAATCTAACCACAAGCGATGTTTAGTTGCAAAAATATATATTATATATATATATTTACATGTGAAAAAATTATAAATAATTTATTAAACTCTGAAAAAAATTCAAATCTATACTAAGAAAAAAAAATTTTTGTTTAAAACAAACAAATTTTGGTTGTGTCAACTAAAAAAATGTATTGATATAAAAAATTTGTTTAATACAACTAAACTTTTGATTAAATTAACAAAAAGTTTATTTGGATTAATAAAATTCTTGTTTCGTTAATGTAAGTTATAGTAATAATTAGATCCTATAACTTTATTATCAGTAGTAAAAGTACGTTTTTGTCAGGCAAAACTGTTTCAATTTTATTAACTCTGCTAACAGTAGTTAAAGTATGCTATAGTCAGACATAGTTAGGCCCTGTAATTTTATTAGTAGTAGTAAAAGTCTGTTTGGGTCAGACAAAATCAATTTAAGTTTTTGCTATTTTATTTTTTAGTAGTAAAAGTTTTTTTAGTCAGACAATTATTTGTAAAGTCCTGTAAATTTAGTTTCAGTAGTAAAAGTACGATTCGCTCAGACAGAACTAATTTGAGTCTAATGATTGTAGTTTACAGTAGTAAACATACTTTTTAGTCAGACAATGATAAAAAAAACCTACCAATTGAACCTAAATTGCAATAGAATAAGAATAATCAATTTTTTTCGATTTTTTTAGATAGAATGTTTTCCTGGAAAATGCAAAAATCCCTTATAAAATTAAATAAAATTAAACAGCATGTCTCTATAATTTTTTTACCTTCAAACAACACATATTACCTTCAAAAAAAACCTACCAATTGAACCTAAATTGCAATAGAATAAGAATAATCAATTTTTTTTTGATATTTTTAGATAGAATGTTTTCCTGGAAAATGCAAAAATCCCTTATAAAATTAAATAAAATTAAACAGCATGTTTCTATTATTTTTTTACCATAAAACAACAACCTTCAAAAAAAACCTACCAATTGAACCTAAATTGCAATAGACTAATAATAATCAATTTTTTTCGATTTTTTTAGATAGAATGTTTTCCTGGAAAATGAAAAAATCCCTTTCAAAGTCAAATAAAATTAATCAGCATGTTTCAAATGCAATTTTATTAGTAGTAGTAAAAGTCTGTTTGGGTAAGACAAAATCAATTTAAGTTTTTGCCCTTTTATTTTTTAGTAGTAAAAGTTTTTTTTAGTCAGACAATTATTTTTAAAGTCCTTTAAATTTAGTTTCAGTAGTAAAAGTACGATTCGGTCAGACAGAACTAATTTGAGTCTTATGATTTTAGTTTTCAGTAGTATAAATATTTTTTAATCTGACAATGATGACATTCTTGTAAATTTATTATAAGTAGTAAAAGTCCGTTTTTTGTCAGGCAGAGTTGGTTAAATTTCTGTAATTCTATTTTCAGTGGTTGAAGTATGATATAGTCAGACATAGTTAAGGCCTGTAATTTTTCTATCAGTAGTACAAGTCCGTTTGCGTGAGACAAAACTAATTTAAGTTTTGTCATTTTAGTTTTCAGTAGTAAAAGTTATTTTTAGTCAGACAATGATCCTGTAAATTCAGTTTCAGTAGTAAAAGTACGTTTCGGTCAGACAAAACTAATTTGCATTTTATAATTTTAGTTTCAAGTAGTAAAAATATTTTTTAGTCAGGCAATTTTGATTAAATTCTTGTAAATTTAGTATAAGTAGTAAAAGTCCTTTTTTGTCAGACAGAATTGATTTAAGTCCTTGTAATTTTGATATCAGTAGTACAAGTCCGTTTGAGTCAGACAAAACTAATTTCAGTTTTGTCATATTAGTTTTCAGTGGTAAAAGTTATTTTTAGTCAGAAAATGATCCTGTAAATTCAGTTTCAGTAGTAAAAGTACGTTTCGGTCAGACAAAACTAATTTGCATTTTATAATTTTAGTTTCAAGTAGCAAAAATATTTTTTAGTCAGGCAATTTTGATTAAATTCTTCTAAATTTAGTATAAGTAGTAAAAGTCCTTCTTTGTCAGACAGAATTGCTTAAAGTCCTGTAATTCTGGTATCAGTAGTTAAAGTATGTTATAGACAGACATAGTTAGGCCATGCAATTTTATTATCAGTAGTAAAAATCCGTTTGGGTCTGACAGATCTAACTTAAGTTTTGTCTTTTTTATTTTCAGTAGTAAAAGTTTTTTTAGTCAGACAAAACTGATGAAATTACTGTTAATTCAGTTTCAGTAGTAAAAATCTGTTTCGGTCAGACAGAATTAATTTAAGTCTTATGATTTCAGTGTTCAGTAGTAAAAATACTTTTTAGTCAGACAATGATGATTAAATTCTTATAAATTTATAATAAGTATAGTAAAAGTTCTTGTTTTGTCTGGCAAAACTGTTTTAATTTTATTAGCTCTTGTATCAGTATAGTTTTAAAGTATGTTATAGTCACACTTGCACGGAAAAAAATCTGTATCTGGAGATTATTTTTATCTTTATCTGGATTTATCTGGATCCTAATATTTGTTTGAAACAAAATTTTCCTCTAATGAACTCTTGTGACTATTGCATCGGTGAATAATTTTTTCTATCCTCTCATTGTACGAGAAGGTATTATTTTTTTTTTTTTTAGTATAATTTCAAATTTTCTTTTTAAGAAGCTCAATAAATTGATAACGAAATTTTAATTGCAATTGACATATTTAATAAAAGTGTGCGGATTTTAATAATAATTAATCGAGCACAAAAGCGCGAGTTATAAATTGATATAATATATTGTGCGGTAATAAAAATATGTTGAACATTTTAATTAGTTTCTGTCTGTTTCAGATGAGAGGCTATATTTTTTTTTTACAAAATTAATTATCGGACAATTATTTAAGCCAATCATATATCTAAAATGAAAAATTATTATATATATATATTATAATAGAGAAAAAGTTCTCAGAAAAATTACAATAATTAATTGCTAGAGATGTTTTTTTTTCATGAGCGCAAATATGATATTTGACGAGACATGTGTTATTTTTTGTGTATTTACGTTTTTAGAGCTTATATATATATATATATAGTTGGGAAAAGTCTCTTTTATTGCAGTGTGGTCAAAACGTTTCTCTTTTCTACTCTCGACGATAAATGTTGCCGCAATACGTCGCGTCTATGTGTGAAATCGTCGCTTTACAAAACTAAAATGCGCGCTCACACTTTAAAACACGGTTTTGCAGCTTTATCTAGCTGCAACGAGTTGGCGAACATTTCATTACAATTTCAGTATGGTAGTAGGGTGCCATGTATAGTATAAGTTTCATACTTCACTAGTCAGTGCCCCATCGCGTGTCTCTACCTATTTACCAGAATTTGCTGTTAAATCGAAACGTTTGATCCGTATATAACAACAAATACAAGATGCGCACATATAGGGATATTTCATCCAACATATATATATATAGTATCACTTAAGCAGTGACATGAACCGAATTTGTTCAAATGGAAAAAATGATCGATGCTTCGAGCTTTTATATTTATTTTGATACAAACGATATCTGCTTACCTGTGACAGTTGTTTGTAAAGGTACTGTAGCTGGACAATGTTACCAATGAACCACAACCAATTCCAAGGGAATAAAAAATTTGCGATGCTGCATCACCCCACATTCTTGCATCCAAAAGACTCGTCCACACTGGTGTTATATACCATAAATTTCCCTCCATCGATCCTTCTAATGTGACACCTTAAAAAATTTTCAAATCACAAATAAAAATTAAGGAAATTTATTTTTGAAATACAAATATAAAAAGAAATTTTTTTTGTTACTAATAAAATAAATCAAAAAAAAAAACGAAAATTATATTTATTATTTTTAAAAAACAAAAAAGACATTTTTTTTTATTTAATAAAAGAAAAAAATATCTTTTAGAAATTTATTCACTATATTCTTCTTTAACGAAACTATTATCATTTTAATCCACATATGTCAATAACAAAATGTACTTCAAAAACTTATCAAAGAAGATTATATCCATTAAATAACTATATAAGTTTTAAGATTTTACCTATATATATAGTAAATATTTTCAATTAATTTTTATTATCACATATATTTATAATAACATTTTGATTATATTTATTTAAAGTTTTTGTATATTTTTCAATTTATCCGTGATGAGATTTTTTTTTTGATAAAATGTATTTTTTCTTTTTTTTTTTTTAACAAAAATTACTCATTTTCCATTTGAATTTTGAAGTAAAAACTATTTTAGAATCTGATCCATGAGTACATGGATTTTCCACCAGGATGATAGAGAAAAAAGGATAGGGTCGCCTTGGTGACAGTCGATAGAAAGAAATCTTTATCAGAATCTAAGAGAAAAAGAGAAATCTCTCTCTCGAGCAAAAATAGCTTGCTTCATATTGTTACTAAAAATATTTTTCATTTTCAATAATATTCGAACTAGTTCTATAAACAAAAGTTGAAAACTATTTTTTTTTTTTACTTTAATGATAAAGTATTATTGCATTTTTTTATATATAATTTACAGTTTTATTATAATTTTATAATAAATAATAAAAATAAATAATAAATAAACTAATAAATAAAATAAGTAATAAAATAATAAATAAAATAATAAATAAAATAATAAAAATAAATAATAAATAAAGTAATAAATAAAATAATAAAAAAAATAATAAATAAAATAGTATCTATGCAAATTCTCACCTCTTATTAATAGCGCAAGAAGCACAAAATATGGAAACAATGCTGTAAAATAGACAATTTTTCCAACAGATTGAACACCTTTTATCAAACAGAAGAAACAAATTATCCAAGCAAGAGTTAGACATGCCAATAATTCCCATCTTATTCCGCCCCAATTGTCCCATTTGGCTCCTCGAATTCCTAAAACATAATCACTGGTGTGCCCCCTCAAATAATTAGATTCGAATAATAATTATTTTATTATACACATTATTATAAAAAAAAAAATGTATTATTCATAAAAATTTTCAATTTTTTCAAATAAAAATAAAAAAAATAATAGAAAACAATTATTATATTAATTTTATTTAAAAAAAAAATAAGTAAACTTTTTTTTTTTTTGAGAAAATATTAAACATTTTTTTTTTCTAATTTACCAAAAATTAGATAAGGGTCAATGCCAAAAATTAAATCATAAAACAAACGTAAATCAGATTAAAACACACAAATCTTTAAATTATATCTCTTCTTTTATAAAAATGCTTTCTTATCTATATTATACATTTTTTTCTTTTTTTGATTAAGCAAAACATTTAGACATTCATACCTGAAATATTGTTCAGAAGATAACACACGTTTATAAAGATGACGAAGAGCTGTCGCATTTTCGCCATTAAAACAATGAGTCACATTGCCACCATTAAATCCAAAACTCGAGCAAACAGTAGAAATTGACATACACGATTTCTTATAAAATATTGTCGATGAATCATTTTTTTGACAATCCATATCTTGTAGACCACTATAACATTCTGTAAAATTTATTTTTAAAAACAATTAAATTTTTCATTTTATTTAAATTTATTTTTTTTTTGCATAATAATAAATAATAATATTATTATATATTAATAATAATAATAATCATAATAATAATAATAATAATAAATAATAATAATAAATAATAATAATAATAAAGAAATAATATTATAAATTTACCGTCAGTATTAAAATCATTGTCACAATAGGCCCACATTAATTTTGTTGAAAATGATGCAAACATATAAAAAAGTGTCCATGCAACTATTACCATATAATAAATATTAACTAATGTCATAACAACAACTGTACAATATCCAAGACCCTGAAAAGCAGGGGCCATTCTTCCAAATGCTGACGTTGGACCAACATTTGAATATTGTCCAATAACTAGCTCTAAGAAAAATATTGGAAGTCCCATTGTTATCAACATCAATACAAAGGGAATTAGAAATGCACCTGAAAAAAATTTAAAAAAAAAAAAAAAATTTTTTAACTACTTTCAAAAAAAAAATAAAACAATTTGTAAAGTGTAATTTTATTGCAAGTCACTTGACTCGCTATTCACAAATAACTCTACAATACAAATAAAATGAATGTTCAAGATCTTTTTATGTAGTTTACATTTTTTTTTTTTTTTTATACTCTCGAAAATAGAGAATTCATTTTATATAATTAACAAAATTACAATAAACACATTTAAATGAATCTCTAAAATCAATGCGCGATATATATTTTTGATGCTCTGAGGCAAAGTTCTGCATAGAAATTCAATGAGGTTTATTTCAAATTATTCGTGTAGAGCGAATTGCATTTAACCATTTAATCATTTAGCTAGACTGACCCATTTCCATTAATTACATTCAAACCAGCAGCGAGTCGGTGAAAAATCATTGAAAATTCCAGTTTCACAGAAATATACATAATATATATATATATATATATATATATGACAGAAAAAACTGGGAATTTCTTTTGAATAGAGAGAGAGAAAAAAAAAAGATTGTAACTAAAATTATAAAATCTAATGCGCATACTTCGATCTTGCTTTTGTTAATTAATATTTAATTTTTTTCAAAATAAGAGTATATTTATTTTTCCATAGTCAATTTATTTTTTTCAAGCACAATAGTATATTTAAATTTTTCATCATTGGAAAATTTAATTTCCTAAGGGATCAAAAAAAAAATCAGGGATCAGTAAAAAATTGATGACATAAATTTTAATTCATTGAATTTTTTCAAATTTTCATTTATACGAATTTTTAAATTTTTTTAAGACGCTAAATTTTCATTTGTGCGAAATTACAAAAATGTCCGACAAAAAAAGAGTTTGGCGCAATTTTTTAAAATTGACCAATTAGAAATTAATCAAGAAAATCGTAATTGATCAATTTAAAATACCGAAATTTTTCTTACAATTGTTTGATGTAATTTCCAAAAAATATATATATGACAATTCGGTGAATTAGAATAAAAATAAAAATATTAAATAAATTCAATATAAATTGAATGAATAGAAAATATATTTTATGCGTTTCTTAATGAGAGCTGATATATAGATATATGTTTCTGAATGTCAAAATTATTGATGTATAAAGTACTTAGTATTGACATATATCGCATTAACTTGGAATACATTTGGTAGTATATATATATATATATTCGTATATTGATACAGGTATATATACATACCTCCACCATTGCGATAGACGAGGTATGGGAATCTCCAAACATTCCCTATACCAACTGCATATCCAATGCAGGATAAAACAAACTCAATTGGATGAGACCATCCAATACGCTCTGCTGATAATTCCACCAAAGCTCCTCCGACCCCCAGAGAGACCCTCTTTCCCTGTCATTAATAGAGATTTACATCATATTATTCATATTTGCATCACACTAATTATCAAGTGAACGCGTTTCAAAATGATTGCGTCAAAATTCACTAATAATATACAATATATATACAATATGGTTGTTATATGATCACCACTGTATTGAGTGCACTATATATATATTTCTCTTATTTGTTTACTAAAGGATTAAGAAATTTTATAAATCCCCTTAGTACATTAATTTCCATTCTAAAAATAAATTATTTTTAATATAATAATAAAAATACAGAATTTTGTTCGATCCACACTTAATAAAAATCAGTTACATTAATTTGCACCCTAAAAATAATATTTAATTATAAATAATATAACATAAATAAAAATAATATTTAATAAATAATATTAAAATAATATTAAAAATAAAATAAATAATAAATAATAATATAATAAATAAATAATATAATAAATAATATTTAATTATTTTTCACTTAATAATAAAAATATAAAGAAATTTGATTCTTAAATTTAGATTTTTAAAAGTAAAATATACTAAAAAGAATATTTTGCATTTAATAAATTTATTTTAATCCTATGTATTATATTCTTAATTTTAGAATAATTTTTTTTTTTAAATTCTATTAAAAATATTTTTATTCTACATTTTTATATTTATCATTTAATAATGTTTATTTTCAGTTTAAAACTCTTATATGAAATCAATATATATATATATATATATATATATATATATATATATATAATGTAATTTTTAATAATTATAAATAATTATAATATTTTTATAATAATCAAATAAAAAATATGTTGTTTAATTTTATTGAAAATTTTTGTCTTATTTATAAATATAAATAGATAAGATTATTGAATATTTAAAATATTTGATTAAAAAAAGAAAAAGAAAAAAAAACGGCTAAAGCGCGAAGGATAAATTTTTAAAACTTTTAATAAAATTTTTCTGGATAATTTAAAAATTCATATTTCTTTTTTAATAATAAATAAAGACATTCTCTCATTTAATATAAGCTTTCAATTGACCCATCTGGTCTAATAGAAACTTTTTTTAATTCACTTAAAACAAAAAAAAAATAAATTAAAATTAAGAATCAATTACAATCTTTTAAATATAAATATATATATACGTATAAATAGTAAAATTATAAATAGCAAAATCATATATAAATAAGAAATATATATTTTTTAATAAAAAAAAAAAAACTTTTTTTTTATCACATTTTTTTATGTTACGATATATTTAAAAAAAAATATATATATATATATTTATGATAGAGAAGCAGTGTCATTATTTATCTAAGATAAAAATATTATCTCCGACAAGTAGGAAATACTATATATATATATATATAATATATATGAAATTGCAAAAGGATCTTTGAAAAATAAAAATATATGTCAAATGAAATATATATATATGTAATTATTTGTTTAAAATTATAATTATTTTGTAAACTAACTATTTTTGAGTGTCTTCTATCATCTTCCATGATAATACCGTTAGGTGCACACCCCACTTACACGCACACACATATAATCACAATAAAAACAAACTTTGCAAACTTCCGTTTATGTTTTCAGCACATTATGAATGTGAAGGATCCAAAACTCGACTGATCGATAAAAACATCTGAGAATTTCATTATCTAATCCGAATATCTCTCTTTTAGTGTGTCGAAACATTGTGCTCCTGATTTTAAATACACAATTGTCATTCTTTTATCAATTTTATTTTATAACATTCATCAAAGTCGAATTAAAATATATATATATACCTATATATAATAATTAAATTCTTTATTAATTTTCAAAAATATTCCAAAATTTTATTATTTAAACAAATATTATTATTTATTTATTTTTCGAATAATAATAATAATAATAATAATAATAATAATAATAATAATAATAATAATACCTAATAATAATATTAATGTAAATAATAATAATAATAATTAATTTTTCTAGCAAAACAAATTTTATATTATCAATCATCATGAGATCATAATATAATCAAAAATAGGGGATTTTTTTATTTTGATATATTTTTTAAAAAGGCAAATATATTTCTTTTTTTTCATAAACAAATTATGCAAACAAAGATAATAATTAATACAATTTGTAATATAGATTTTTTTTTTATATAATCGAGTAATGTATATCGTATGAATGACACATTTTTTAAAAAGATATAAATTATTTACGATTAACATTAATAATAGCATCAAATTCGTTTTAATTTAGTTTAGATTATAAAAAGAAAATATTTAAACAAATTTTTTAAAAATTACACCCAGATAATTTTATTTTCTACTAATGTATTATAAATAAATATTATACATATATTACATCAATATTATATATTCATTTTATTATTATTATTATTATTATTATGTATTATTATTATTTTATTTGAAAAAAAAATAGAAAGAAAATATTTAAATGAGTGAATTAAATAATTATTCTATGTTTCTATTTTAAATTTGAATTTAAATTTACCGCAAATGAAAACTCAGTGCGCGCCATCTAGGAATATTTTTCTCAACTTTTTACACGCATATTACTAAGGGCGGTATTCATAGTTCCGACTTAAGCAAGGACTTAAGAGTTGCTTGATCAAGACGGTCTTATTCGAATGAGTCGAGCTTAAGACCATATATATTCATAGTCAAAAATAAGCAATTGCTTGGTAAAGGAAATGCAGCTTAAGAATTTCTTGACCAAGCAAATGCTTAAGATGATCTTATTGAACGATCGGATTTTTCCGTCAATATTCTTTTGAATCCACCAATAAGAAATGGTTTTGAAAATTCGCCTCAATGCGCCAAGGAATATTTATACTTGCGTTGTATTCAATTTGAGTTTTTCGTTTCAGCGTTTTTAATGTTATTTATAAAATTGTTTTGTTTAATCATTTGAAAAAAGTAAATTTGTAAAATATTTTTCTTATTAAATGTTTGTAATAAAAAACAGTAATAAAACAAAATTCAAAAATATAAACCTGTGAATATAATTAATGTTGTTTAAAAGTAAAAATTTTTAATAATCAACGAATGAAATATATTTAAAATTTGATAAATAATGATACATAATAGTGAAATATTCAAAATAATGATCAATATATTAACATTAATATTTTTAAAATTAGGCGTACAATTTGTAGAACACAATTTATTTTTTCTTTTTCAAATTAAAAAGACTGGTAATTTTTTTTATATCTTATCTTATATACTCTCGTTTTTAAAAAAGTGCTGTACGCTAAAAAATTTTAATTGTTTATAAACATAAAATAACTACTTTCATACATAAATTCTTTTTTCTTGTAGAAATAATAAATGTATCCAAATATAAATCTGCTACTCTCACTCCCTTAAATTATATATTAAAATAAAAATATAATGGAATATAAAATTTGTAAACAATAAATAATTAAATTATTATAAATAATACTAAATTTTAATACTAATTAATGAAACTTTTTGTAGTAATAAAATGTCTAAAAAGCATTACACCAATACGGATAAAGAAAACTTTTCCTGCAAACTATCAAAATTTTTGCCCATGTTATTGAAAATCGCAAAAGCGATTGTTCCTTGAAAGCTAAGGAGGCTGCGTGGAGTGAAAACGATAACGTCTCTGAAACTCTCACTCATCTATTTCAAAAGAATTTTCCGCATCTCGAATGTATCGTTTTGCACGTCTTATATTGTTTGGACCATCTTCATTATCAATATCATCCTCAATGTCTCTTAAATAATGCATTATATCCATTGTTAACACTTTTTTCACTATAAATACACTAATAAGTTATTGCTTAAGTCAACTAAAACGTTGACTTTAAATCATAACCTCAATTCGTTCAAATAAGTTCACCGGTAATGTCAAATAAGAAAATCCTATTTGACTATGAATACTTGGCATTCTTAAGATGGGACTATGCATCTCAAAATCAAAGCATTTACTTCTTTAAGCAAATGCTTAAGTTGCGACTTAAGTCAATCCACAATGCACGACTATGAATCTAGGTGTCAGCTTAAGTCGCTGCTTAAGAAATGAGTATCGACTATGAATACCGCCCTAACACTTATCTATAATTCATATGTTTGTGTGTGTGTGTGTATCTGTCAAACTCTAAAGCAAGAAAATGACAGTTCACAATTTGTACATATTTTCACGAAATGGTTCATTGTTGTATTATACAGAATGGAATAGATTAAATAAATCAGGAATGACACAAGAGGAGGTAATATTAATACTATTATTTGTTGAAAATAATACAATTTTCGAAAAATTTAAAATCCTAACCTAGAAATCTATCAAAATATTGTATATATATATAATTTTATTTTTGATAATTTAGGAAGCAAAACTAATGTATGGAATGCTTTTTTCAATTAAATCATTTGTGAATAAAATATCACCATTAGATCCAAAGGAGGGATTTCTTTATTACAAAACAAGTAAATATACCCTTTATTGTTTTGAAACAGTTTCTGGATTAAAATTTGTTCTCAATACTGACAATGCTGCTCAAAATGTTCGTGAATTATTACAACAAATATATAGCCAGGTAAAGATCTATTTTGTAATTTTTTAAATATTATTAAATTATAATAAATAAATAGTTAAATTTAAATTTTTGTTTCTTTTCAGGTGTATGTTGAATATGTTGTAAAAAATCCACTCTGTCATCTAAATCAACCAATTCAAAGTGAATTATTTAAAACAAAATTAGACGAATTGATTAAAAAATCTCCAATATATTTAAATCGATCATTATAACTTCTTTTGTAAATAAATTACGTTATTTTTTATATAACAAGAAGTTTCATTTAAAAAAAAAATACTTGACAGGTAATAATAATAAAATATAATATTTTAATGTAGGAAGTTTATTCTAATAAATTTGTTTTCCAAGTTAGATTAATAGCATATACACATCTGTAGATATATTTTCAGATGTTACTACTTAATGTTCAATTTCTATTTACATTATATTTTATATTATTTTTTTTCTACAAAATAACACGGCAGTTTCTTTAATTCGATGACAATGGTTTTGTTAATGCACTTTTAATCATTTAATAATATCGTTGATAAATATATATTTATGATTTAAACTTTGTATTTTCTAGTAAACATTCAATATATTTTTTTTTTTTAGTAAAATAAAGTATGTCTTAAAAGTATACTTTTTTTAAAAAAGAATTCTTGAAAGTATTTTTCTTTTTCGTTTTTTAAATTTATAAATGACTTTCACTGCATTATCAAAACCATGAGCACAGGCAAGAACAGTCATATCAATACTAAGGAGTTTAGGCAGACTGCATCACTCAGCTATAGATGTAGTCTTCACAGTCAGTTTAAAATGTTTTTTTGTGACAAAAATCTTGATACAAAATAACAAAAATATTAAATTGAATATATAAATTCATTAACTTTTATTTTTAAAGTTTTTAACATTTTTCCTCTAAAGAAAACTTAAATATTAAGAAAACTATTTATTTATTCCCTGTATTATGAATATATAAATCAAAGACGATTTTTTATATTATTTTTTTTTTTTAATTGCAGACACAGTAATAAAAATAGGAATTTAAAATTCCAAATACATTTTAACTGACTGTAAATAACAAAAATTGTCATCCACTTTATCACATTTTAAAAATAAGTTCTGTATATTTTAGACTCTACATCTGTTTAAAACAAAACTTGTAGAGATTTGAGCAGAGAATGACATGAAAAAGTTCATATTTTTCTTTTTTATGGGCAATATAATAAATATTAACCTTTTTGAATCAAATTATATAGTTTTGTAAAATATTATGTATATAATATGTATATATATATATTTGAAACTCACATGTTTCTTTATCAACAATTTTTTTTTATACTTTTAAATAATGTTTAGTTCGCAAAATCGAAACAAACAACTTGTAAATGCTTTGCACGAAAATTGATTATTAAAGATCAATTCAAAAGTGGATCTCACTCTGTGGCAAGATGTATTTAATCTTAAATAAATTTCACAGTCGTTTTTTTTCAAACATTAATATTCAACTATTTATGTATCAATAATTATTCTGAAATATAAAAAAGGGGAATAATTATTCTTTTTTGCACATTATATTGGCAAAATAGAAAAAATTTCATTTTATGAAGAGCATGTGTAAGGTTGAAGATAAAAAAAAATGATTTTTAAACAATTTCGTTAGACATTAAAGTAGATTTCCAAGTCTTATTAATTGTTAAACATGCTTATAAATATCCAGAAAACTAACTGGAAAATGATTTTTTTTTTTTTTGAAATAATGCAAAAAATGAAGAAAAGTTTCATCGTTGTAAGCATAAAACCATTTTGTTAACTATTATAATTTTTTTGTGATGTACTAAGTCATCATATAATTAAATTTCTAATAAATATTTCATGAGATTGTGATTTGATACTGTAAATTGCAGCATGTTATGAAGTAAAAAACATAAGCCGAGTCAATTTTTTGATACTCACAGTCCCTGCATGTTAATTTTTTTTTTTTTTTTTTGAAAATATACTTTGCAGATACAGTGCATGCATAACTTTTTTTTGTTATCCAAAATTGAAAACAAAAGAAAATTTTATGACATTGTCCTCTTATTAGACAAAAAATATAAAGATGCGTATTATACACTACTTACACATATACTTTTTTTTTGCCGAAGCCCTAATTATAATTATTACATTTATCAATATTACCTTTATTACTTTCTCGCTTATTGTAAAAGATATACATTCGTTGATACACCATGAATGCAGCACTAATATATTCTATTAATACACAAATATTTTTTTTACTTTTCTTTTTGAATTTTTAAAAAGAAGTTAAGTGCTGCAAAATAAATTTTTAAATTAAATTCAATGCAATTTGAATTTACAGCTTATAATTACTTTTTTTTTTTTTTAATGGTGTATCCCAATTTTTTTTTTTTTTTTTTTTTTTTTGAAGCAGTTTAACGTAATTAACGTATCTTCTTTTTTTTTCGTAAATGTATGAACAATTTTTGTATAATTGGACATGTACACGTTATAAAGTATACATTTAAATGTTATATGTGTTGATACATATACGTAACTGTACAAATGTGCATACATGCGTATACATTTCGTATATATAAACTTTACTTAAGCATCTAAAACTGTCCTTTCATTTCAACATCTGCTTCATTAAACTGTTTCAAACACGCTCAGTCTTTGATTTCGCACAGTACATATACAAATACTCGTATGCATCATAGCAGTGACGTGTAACTCATTATTATAAGCACGCTAACATTGGCTTGTTTTTTTGTTTTTTCTTTTTTATAATCACTGACAACGTTTTTCTGATAATAACAGATATCGTTGACTAATGGAAGAAAAATTTTCAAAGATTAACAGTATAATAAAGATTTTGCGATATCTTATCGATTTAAATCAATTCTAATAAATTTTTTTTTTCATACAAAAAATAAAGTCGAATCACAAAATATCAATCGATTAAGTAATCATTTTTTTTTTTTTTGTTACTTCCAGTCTTTAAAGATTAAAAAAATTAACTCATATTTCTGACGTCAACGAAATATTAAATCTTTTTTTTTTTTCTAAATTGATCATCTAGCATAAAATACATTTACTGGAATTTGAAAAAAAAATGTATCGCACAAATCTCCTTGATGCGTCATTAAATTTTGTAATAAGACGCAAAAATTTATCGATGGATGGACTTGTGTGCGTTTTTCTTTTTTTAAAAAAAATATATTTATATGTATGTATATATATATATATATTTTATTACTTACAGTATTTTTTACGTGTTGAGTCTCGTTGTTTTCTGTGAATCCTGATCTTGATCGATTTCTTTATTTCTTTTGCGTCGTGCAGGACCTCTTGTGACATTTGTTGAGCTATTACTACTACTAGCTTCCTGATCAGCTTCAATGAAACTCACATGATGATCAAATCGAACACGTTCAGAGCCACCATCTTCTTCACAAACAGTCCAACTGTTGGATTCGCTGTGTTGTCGATCCAAAGTGGGCCTTCGGCGAGAACGTTTCGCTAAACCAGGTGTTATTTCTTCTAATGAACTGAGAGAAGCTGCTTGACCGGCTGTATCAACATTCGCTTCAGTAACAGTAGCTGTTGTTGCACTATTTGATGTTTGTTCTCCCTCCATACTTGGACCACTTGTAATAGAACTACCTTCAATCTACAATTTTCAACAAAAATAAAATTTTCTCCATTTTTTTTAAACTATTTTTTTGCTTTATATTCAGAAATGTGGAAACTAATTTTACCTTAAAATTTAACACCGAACCGGCTAATGCTCTTGTTGATGCTGCTCCATCATCCAAAGCAATTGAAGCATTGACGGATTTTTCCGATAGACTCGTAGTAGCTGATGCAGTTTCACTGCACAAGCTAAATCTTTGCGTTGATGTAACATCAGCTTGAACTTCCAGTCTACTTGAACAAAAATAAAAAAAAATAAATTTAACTTTTATTTCTAAAACTACTTTCGCTAAAGATGGAAGTAAAAAAAAATTTAATACCTTTGACCTCCTGGAAGAACACTCGATGCTATACTTCCGGCTATGCTTGTTCCTGCAAGAGCAACATTACTCGCGCTTTCACGATCATTTTCGCGACCCAACTTTTCTAATTGACTTCCACTTCCCAATGAAAGTGAAGCTTCACCTATTGATGGATTACCACCACGATGACTTACAACACCAATTGATGCTGCATCTAAATGAAAATTAATCTCATAATTTCTGATTTAAAAAAAAGAATTAAAAAAAAAAAATCTTATTTTTTTTCTATTAAAAAAGGAAAAATTTAATTTCAATTAAAAATAAAATTACAAAATTACCTCCAACATTTCGACCTCCAAGTGCACCCATTAATTCGTTTTCATCGTCAAACTCGAACCTAACACCTGAACCATTTGTCGATACTCCGCATCCTCCGCTACGACACAATGACACGGGAACTACACCATAAACGTAGAACAATAAAATCGGAACTCCAATTCCCACCGCTAAACCAGCCAACACAGGAGCAACTAATACCTATAATAAAGAAACATCTCAGAATTAATTTACAATAAAAAATTCATTATAATTGTTTTTCATTCATTTGTCTACTCTTTCATATATTTATAATGTTTTACTATACTAACATTTCATCAGGATGTAAGAAGAGAGAGAGAGAGAACAATAAAATTAATTGAGCCATTACACTGCATTAAACTAACTAGAAACTCTAAAAGCCTCAAGGCTAAAATGGAGTGCAAGTTTGCATGTTAGAGAACTTGCATGATTTTTATAAGACATCAACGTTCTCTAATCCTGGTACAATGTTAATTACTGTTTCCATTAGCAAAGTTCCCGTTCTTTTTTCTCTCTCTCTCTTCGTGTATATAATTTTAATAAATATAGTTGCTATAAGTTTCTCCTTCAGAGAATATTGAATGCAAAAAAAAAAACCTGGCTAACTGAAAATATATTAAATATTCCGGTAACTTTTTAAAAAGCTTTAATTATATAACTAAATAGTAAAAAAGTTGCGAGCACAGTTAATTTTACTTCTAAAAGTGGAAAAAAAACGACGCATGAACTATTTTCCAATAATTAATAATTCAAGTACAAGAGTATAGTGAATAAAAAAAGCTAATAACAACCTTGAAGATGAAAAAAAAAAAGAATACTTTTTCAAGGATAACTTTTTCAAAATTAAATCCACTTGAGAAAAATAGTTTAATTCAATAAATAAATACTTTTTAACTAAATAATATTTTACAAAAATTTTATAAATAAATTTCCTATTTTGAATATTAAAAAAAAGAAAAAAAAAACTAGTAGGTAAATAAAAATTCTCGCTTATAAAGGTTTAAAGGTTAAAGTCAACAAGGCAGATGATTGTCCTTGCATAAAGTTATTTCTGTTGGACATTGAAAAAGGCACGTTATTTTCACTCCATTAAAGCAGTAATAAAATTGCCAGCTAATGGTGAATTTTTCCAATTTGAAAAGAATTCATTCAGTGCAAAGGGGTCCTAATTTTGAATTGTCATCAATTCTTCTTTAGGGCGAAAAAAAAAAAAAAGAGGAAGAGGAAGATGTAAAAAGAAATTACAATCATAAGTTTCAATGAAAATAGATAAAATGGAAGAAAGATATTGATTAAAGCCAGAGACAGAGAGAGATACAGAAGCATGCGCGTAAAGGAGATATTGTCCCACCCATGGCGCCGTCATGCGAGGAGGTATCTGGAGCCATCACTAGCCATCACACTGCAGTTAGGCCGGGAACAAAGTCAGACAAAAAGCGGAAACAAGTAAAGAGGGGGCCGGAAGGGGTCATTCCCTTCAAAATCCGGCCAAGATTTAATGACAGAACATTGAACCAATGTCAATCACGACTAATGAAATTCAGTCTTTGTAACAGGAAAAAGGACTTTTTTCACTATAGCAATTCATTTTGCAATCGGGACTCGCCCAATGAGGTTTCATCACAAAACAGTGAAATAAAATTCTAACATTATTCAAAAAAAAAAAAAAAAAGAGTTAGAAGATAAAAAATTTCGAAGATAAATCAACAATGTCAGACAGTGAGGACACTGATGGTTCTGGTGGTGAGTGGCCGGTGACCAAAGAATGGCTCGAAGGACTATTGGTCGAACATCACGGCGCAGGTTCTCAAGTCACCGTTGATGATTTCACCGTAAGACCCGGTTGCACTGCTGGCGAAAGTGTTCTCAGTGATATATTAGCTGTAACAGTTGAATATCGAACGAAACCCGATGACACGCGCTGCGAACTCAGTGTCATTGTCAAGCTTCTACCCCAGGATCCATATAGTCGATTTTTCGTCACCGAGGCACAGTTTGATCTTCGTGAAATTAAATTTTACACCCAGGTAAAAAAACTAAAAAATTAAAAAAAAAATTATAGTTATAATTCAAAAAAAAAATAAAAATAAAACTATTTTTCTTTTTTAGGTGGTACCTGATCTGGAAGCATTCCAAAAGAAACAATTAACATCGCCCGAACTGGCAATTGAATTACCAATTCCAGCTTGTATTCACGCTCACTATAGTCCTGGTGGTGGTACCGAAGACAGTCCAGAACCTCCTGAATCATTTCTTGTTTTGGAAAATCTACGACCACGAGGTTTTGAGGGAGCAGAATTTTCTCGTGGTTTAACATTAAAACAAGCCGAAGCAGCGCTAAGTGCTGTTGGATGTCTACATGCATTGTCATTAACATTAAAAGTAAAAGAAGGACGATCACTATCCGATCGTTATCCATTTCTTTTTCAAACAGCAAGAGCCACTGATTCCTATCAACAATTGGTTGAACGTGGTTTACCTCAATTGGCACGTTTTCTCGAAAGAAGACCAGGTTTGGAAACAGTACTCGAGGCACTTTTAACATTACGACCACGCACGAAGGAAGTAATTGCCGCTCTTTTAGCGCCAGAAAATCCACTAGCATTGATAACACACACAGATTTTTGGTGTAATAATTTACTATTCAAAAATGATGACGATGGAAGTTGTAAATGTGCTATTCTTGATTGGCAAATGGTCACCTATAGTAGACCAACAAATGATATTGCCCTTCTTCTTGTAAGTTCCGTACCAACGGAATTACGTCGACGTCATACACAATTGTTACTTGATAAATATTGGGATGTTTTAACAACAACAAGTTTCAGTTTAGGTGTTGACATTCCAAAGGATTTAGGATACACAAGATTGGATTTGGATAAAGATTATAGACGATCACAATTATTGGCTTTACTTCTTTGCATAGGATCAGTTGATGTTGCTCTTGGTGATCCTCTCACTGAACAACGTCTCATAGACGTTTTGGAAGATCTTCACAATGATGGAGTTCTAACTGGAGAAATTACTGAAACTGTTACAGAAACGTAAGCCAAACGCCTTCGCTGATCCAATATAACCGAAAATCACGATAATCGCATTATCGCATTTAGGACAGTGACGCTGATTGACCTCGATGTGTGCAAAAAATGAAGCCGTTACTTGTGTCTTTTCTTTCTTAAATTTTTAAATAATATTTCCCTTGTATACCTTCAAAAAATTTAATTGTCCATTCCGATCTGTGTCTAATATATAAAACAATTTGTAAATATAAATCTGTAAATCAGAATTTATTTTCACGAATATGATTAAAACAAAAAAAAAAAAAGTTATTGGTGCAAGTGAAGCGACAATCATTTATTTTTTTGAAAAAGAGACTCAAGTAACAATATTGCCAAAAGTTAGAAATTATTCGAAAATAGTAGAGAATTTTTTGCAAGGAACATTAATCGCAATCGATGAAAAAAAAAAGTCCAAGTCAAGAGGGGAACTGTTAGAAGCTTTACGCGTGCGAAAGTAATCGAGCTTCTTCGTGAGAGGATTCTTTTTTTTTTTAAATTACTACACATCGACAAAGTGCGCGATTAGAATATTGTTGAGTCGAATAATAATAATGTTTGATATTAAATATAAGCTTTGTTCACGTTAATACACTTTCATGATGAAAAAAAAAAAACAATGAATAGCATTCAATATTATCTGATTCACTTGTCTTTTTACAAAATCAACAAATGAGTGTATATTTTGTAAACTGAATTTTTGAACTACTTATGAAACTTTTTTTTCCCTTTTTAAATTAATATTCAAATTCAACTTTCAGATTTTTCTACATTTTTTTTTTTACAAATTACAATAGTAAATGAAATCAAATTTAAAAAACAAAAATCTGTTAAGATTTAAATGGAATGAAAAAAATTTTTATAAAATTTCCTATATACTCTGATTTTTACCATTTTAAAATATGTATCAATTTATATTTTGAAAATTATTCTGTATGAAAAATTGTACAACAGTATTTGTGCCAATACAAAAGACTGGCTAATTAAAAGCTTGCATTCAATTATATTGAACAAATAAAAAAAAAGAAGAAGAAATCTTATTGTTCAAACTATCAAACGTATTGTTATTTTATAATTAATACTTTTCCTCAGTAATAAATCATTAATATCAAAAACAACTAATTACTTTGTCCTATAAAAGTTTTCACTATATCATAAGCTAATAAAATAAAAATTATTAACTTACCGATGCAGTCACTCCGCCCACAATGAAGGCATTCCTTTTATGTTTATTAGCTTTTTCATATCTGGTATACAATTTTCTACCGACCCATACTGGTATACCTAAATATTAGAGAAACACATTTTTATTATGAATTAAATGCCGTATAAAAATTTTTTACTTTTGTTAAAATTTCAAAATTATAAAAATATTTTCTCATTATGAGTAATTAGTTTAAGGAACTATTAACTTACCTATTATCATTGCAGGAACAGCTATACCTGCCACAAGACCTATTCCAACTGGTGCTCCAACTAACGTGCCTAATTGCCATAAAATCTTCTTCTTTCTCGACCAAGGTTTCTTACCCCAAAATGTACAGCCTGATGGACTGTAAAAAGCATTTTAAAAAAATATTAATTAATTTTATAAAATCATTTTTAAAGAAAAAGTTCTAAAAAAAATAATTTTACCTCAAATAATGAAGATCACTGATTTCTTTCATACAAAGCCAGCAAAATTCAGCTGTACATACAGCGCAAGTCATATGATTGCAACTGCCATCATCCATTTTAACAATAAGAACTTGACATCTTGGACAAGGTTTAATATCATCTCCTATAGAAAAAAAAAAATGCATTTCTAATTTTTAATTGCCATTCACAAGTCTTATTATCTTTTCATAAGAAAATATAAAAATAGAAATACATCGTTATAAGATAAACTAATGTTCTCTTAATAAGAAAGTTAATTAACTTACTGTGTTGTGAATCACTTTGGCTGAAACTTAACGACGAACTTCGTTCATAGTGTTGGAATCTTTGAGCTCTCGCAGCGTCACACGTTTGATTTGGATGCCATCGTGCTTTACAATGATAGCAAAAATATGAATCGCAACCTGGCCTTTCGCAACGTAATTTAGGACAAGAAGCACAGCCACTTGCTATTACAGCGAAAAAACAATCAGGAGCAGGACACCACCTTGCATCTGGTTCAACAGCAAGTACTCTTCGAACCATAAAATCTTCATATTTTTCTAATTGAACTTGATCATTCAAAATCATCCTGATATCTGTTAATAAATAAATAAATAAAATAAACTATAAATTGTTAGTTTATATTTGTTCAACTTACCATTAGGATGTAAAGGCTCGGAACATTCAGGACACGCGATATTGACTCTCGATTCAGAAATTTCAACTTTAAGATATTGTTGAAAACAATCATAACAACTTCGATGATGGCAAGTTTGAATTGTAGGAAATAATTCACTTGGCAATTCAGCCAAGCAAAGAGGACATTCTAATTCTCCATTTTCGTTACTCTAAAAAACATGAAAACTTTCTCTTTTATTTTGTTTTTATTTTATTTCTTTAATAACTTTAAATAATTATTAATACCTTTCCTGCAGTTGACAGGACGGAGCCTTTACTGGAAGCTCTTTGAAGATCAGAATTATGTGACTGAAAATGAGATGATCCATTACTAACTCTTGCTTCTCCTTTTTCGACATCTATTGCTCTATTAACAGGATCTTTTGCTGAAAAAAAAACCCCCCCCAATATTAATTTGCAAATTACATATATCTCTAAAATTAATTAAAATATACAACATATAACAAACTTGTTTCACAATTATGCAAAATAGTTTGCATAAATTATTCAGAAAGTTATATGAATTTACCTTTGGTATTTCTGATACTGGAATTAGTCACTCTTGAAATTCGGCGACCAATTAAAGGACTTGAATATAATAATCTACGCAATGAAAACCTTGGAAAAAATCGTCGAGGTCTAGAGGTGACACCATTGCAACCTCCTGCTCCGCTTTCAACTTCTTTGAGCATTCTTCAATAAAATTCACTTATTTTACCACAATTCTTTAATCATTTCGTTTCATATAATCCAACATTCGTTTACACCACGAAATAATATCTGTAATTAAAAAAAAAAATAATAAATATTTTTATATCTAAATATATATTATCACATTTTTTATTTACAATCAGTAAAAATATGTGTTAAGTTCAATTTGATTTCTACAATAGAAGACGAAGAATGTGTATTATGAAAAATTCCAATTCTCAAGGTAAATTAAATTAAACAACGATTTGTGAAATCTTTTTATGCAGATGAGTCATAAGTACATACGTACGTACAACTTTCTCGTTCAGAAGGAACACATTTTAATATAAATTTTAATAAAAAAAAAAAAATATTAAAAAAAAATATTGAAGTTTAAACAAACTGTACATGAACAAATAATGTTATTTTACTATAATAAAAATGAATTACTTTAACACTTATGTTTTTATTTAAATACACAACAGCTGACCTGAACTAATCACAGACTACACTTTTTAGCGAATGACTACTTGCTGCACAATAATTTTCTTTCTCCTTCCTTGTCGTCCACCATCAAACTGCTAACTTGTGTGTTACCTTGCACACCAAGATCAAATATATAGAGTGGAAACCTACAAGTTCTACACCAACGATGAAAGTGACATCACATTGCACATGTATAATAACTTTTTAAATTTTATAATATTTCAATAAATTGTAAAATTTCAGAAAAAATACAACATTTTTAATAGTACAATTTATATGAAATAATAAAAGTTATTTTAACAATATTTATTAATCAATAATTAAAAAAAATATATATTTCATGGTCGACAAACTTTTCTTAAGAAAAAATTAATATTCAACTTGAAACGTTTTTCAATTTAACTGAAGAACAAATGAAGTTAAAATACACGGTAGATGAGATTTTATTGATACTCCAAATATATAATTAATATTGAATGGGTGCAAAGATTTCCATTAATTGAAGATAAAAAAATGTCACGTTTTTCCATAAATTAAATTACTTCGCATTAAAACTTGACACCTAAGAATCAAATGAGAAGTAGCTTTAAAAAAAGTGTTTAAGAAAATAAAAAAAAATAAAAAAATAACTAGATTAATTCAATAAGGAAATATTTAAATTTTGCACATCTTCATGCACGTGTTACAACTATATAATTACAGTTTCTCAAATATTTATCTTATTAAATTCTAATAAAAATATCATATTAATTTATTTATTTACAATTGTATTGTATTTTGCAATTTTTAATAAACAGTTACCAAATTATTAGTATTTTTGTTATCAAAACTATAAAGCTATTTACAAATATTTTTTTGAAGTACTCCAAAAACTTATATAAGAATCTCTCTGTGATAAACATTTTAAACAATAATTACCTGCAATCATTATCGTAAATAATTATCAATGTCTTTCGAACTCAGCATTATTTTAACTTTATGACGCTACAAATTCTTTTGTAAGGTGACGAGTCAGGTTTCAAGTTATCTCTATATATATCTTTCAAATAAATGTATCGCTTTCAACAATTAAATTATGTGTTTATTTTCCAAAAGTAATAAGCAAAACAAAATTAAGAATGTAAAAAAGTTTCAATTTACTAAAAAAAAAAGAAGTAAAATAAAATCAATAATTGTTTTTTAAAACAACATTTTTTAGTTTATGCGTATACATATTGTGGTGTTTATTAAGGAAAAATGGAGTCAACTTTAAAAAACATTTTATAACCAAATATGTCGATATTTAAAAACACTATTCTTAAACATCTGCAAGATGCTAACCTAAATATATAAATATTACAAACCTCTTAAATTGCAAAGTTATACTTTTTCGATAATTCCTGTTATGCTGATTTTAATTGCACAATTAAAAAAATATGATGTTGACCACCACTGGATTGACAAAAGAGCAAAAACAAGTGTAAACAAGTTCAACTTTAAAATAGATAATCACACTATGCGAATGATACTATAAATAGACAGCAATTAGTCCAGAAAATAAATATTGTAAATTAATTGCCGGAAGTTAATAATTTTTAAATGTTAAACACTTTTGACACATTAGAATAATGTCAACTATTCTGTCATTGTCATTGTAATCCCCTTTTTTGTTTATTGCGCAGTCCATTATGCGCATTAACACCTATTAAAGTGTCATTCACATGTTTTGCTTAAACTTCTAAAGTGAAACTGGACAAAAAATTTTTTCTATCTCATTCCTTTCTATATATAGAAAATTTTATGAAAGCTGTCAAACTCAAAGTAAAAATTAATTGTAAATTGTTTTCTTTTATATAATATATAAATTTGTGTCATAAAGAATTTAGAAAATATTTACTAATAGTTCTTTAATTAAGATAATAATGTTGAAAAAACAAAATGTTTATTAAGTCTTTTTGCTTTAGTGTATGTTTGTGAATCAGCTGTTCTGTTCATTATTAATAACACAATAAAGTATACAGTGTAATTTTTCATTGTTTTTGGTATTATTTATCATTTCTAATTTCTTTACAGACAATTATAAAATTTATATAAAATAAATTAAAACTGTACAATGTAAATTTATGTTGTTTGATTCGCAGAAAAAACTATAATTACAATGTCATCTACTCACCGGGAAGCAATTCAGAAACAAATTCAACAAGACTGGGCAAACAGAGAATATATTGAAGTCATAACTGGCAGTATTAAAAAAATAACAGACTTTTTAAACTCTTTCGGTAAGATTATTGAACTTTTTTTATTTTTATTATTTATTCAATTGTTTAGAAAAAAAAAATTGGACTAACAAATAAGATTAAGTTGTACTAATTTTTCCAAACCTTTCAGATATGTCCTGCAGATCACGATTAGCAGTTTTAAATGAAAAACTTACTACTCTTGAACGTAGGATAGAATATTTAGAAGCACGTGTAAGTATAAATTATGAGATGAAAGAAAATTAAAAATATTACAATTATTCATTTATATTTTCAGGTAACAAAAGGAGAAACTTTAACATGAATTGTTTGCCATGGAAAATTTTATATTATATTTATCCAAATAATTTTTTACTTTTTTCTATTATATAAAATTGTATATACCTACATATATATATATATATATCAGTTTAATTTACATCAAACTTTTGAATTAAATTAATAATCAGAAAAATTTAATTTAACTTTTATTATTAATATTATGTTCCACTTACATTTTTGAATTCACAAAGATCAACTATAGTTTTATTTCATTGAACAACTTTTTTTTTTATGTTGTCCAACTTCTTTCGTATGTCTTTGCTCTGGCTCCTGCTGTTGAAAAGAATGGATATTTCATTTCAGCTTCTGATGGCTCTTGTGAAAAGAAAGTCCAACCACTTTCAATTGAATCTTTCTTGCAAGCAGCAAAAATACTTAAGAATATGGTTCCATAAAGTGTAGTTAAAAAGCATTTACTCCAAAGACTCAATACACTTCCAGCTCCACAAGCTGTTATTTAAACACAAAATATAATTTAAATAAGAAAGTACTAAAAAATATTGTTATAGTAGTAAAGTAAGTTAAACATAATTAATTTAATGATAAGAAATAAGTAGATAATTCATTTTTTTTTTTTATAAAAATACATTGCATTGAATGGTACTGTACCTCCTATTACATAATTCCAAGGATCATCTTTTCCTCTCAAATTTGTTGCTATATAGGTTGTAGATGCAAATGCACAACCCATTCCAGTTAAAGGAACTACCCAAAAGCCAAGACAACGTGCTGAATCGTAGAAAGTTTTTGTTTTAGAAATTGCTATAATATCATTAGTTCCTATAAGTATACCAGTGAAAGCACAATACTTAGAGACACCAACTATTTTATTGAGTGGATCCTGACCCTCCGGTTTAGCATAATAATCAAATTTGTCGAAAAAATATCTCAACGACATTTTGATGGTATCTATAAAAAAAAAAAAGTTCAACTATTTTGCGTTGAATGACAAAAAAATTGTAAAATCAAAATAGATTGTTAGAAGCAATTACATTAAATATAATTTGTTTTAAACAAAAATTAGTGTTAAACATAATAAAATAAATTTAGTTTTATATTTAAATATACTTTATATGTGTAAAATTTAAAAAAAATTTATTTACAATATTTTTTACAAAAAATATGAAATGATTAATACGTAAAAGAAAGTGAGGTTATATGAAAAAAAAAACTTACCAAAAGCAAATTATAGAAAAATGCAATTGTTTTTGAGTTTAACAACTCGTATAAAATTGAATGAAAAAATTAAATAGACATCATCATATCATTGACACTATAAAGGAATTATTTTACACTAAATCAGCTGTTGTCTAAAATTTCCTAAAGGTCTTGATCTTTTGATCCCACAAATAGACTGTGAACCGTGCATAAGTTTAGTCTAGTCTTGCGCAATTCATTACGAATTTTGTTCTGTAGAAGACTGTGTTTTTGTTTATTTAAAAAATGTTTAAAACTGTTAATATGCGTTTATTTCCACAGGTAATTATACTATTATTCATTTTTACGACTATATATAAATTATTATTAGATTGTGACTAGAATTGTTAACGATTTTTCAATAGGATTGACATTTCTAACCTAAAATTTTTTCAATTAATTATTCGTATATAAAAGTTATAAACAATTTAAAAAAATATAAATTTTAAGGGCATATTTATATACAGAATTATTTGTTTTAGAACTAAATGTATATGTAATATTTTAAATTACATTATTTTATTGTTAATAATATTTTAAAAATTATATTTTTTTAGGGAAGAAGTATTGTTCGTACCTTCAGTTCTCAGTCATCAACGACGATGAAAAATAACAGTAATACTACGACTGCAATAAATTCAAATGTACCAGGTCTTAGCGAAAATTGTGTCAAGGTTCCAAATCATCGTAAGTTTGTACAAAAAAAAAGCCAAATACATTTTACACTCATAATTTTTTGCATATTATTAATTTTCAATAATTTCATTAGCCGTTGGTCCTGGTGCATCGAAGGATAAAGAATATAAAAATCCAGAATACTTTTGTTACACCATAAATTCGTTTGCGGAAGCTGAAGTTGAAATGGCTAAGTATCGACTCCCAGCACCGTCTAATAAAGTTAAATTCGTTAAATAAATTTATGTACGTCTATATAAGTTTAAATATTTTAGATGATTTCACAATAATTTAAATATATATCGTAAATTATTAGTATTTAATTAAAAGCATTAGAAAAGATAATATGTTATGATTTAATCGACAAATTCACATTTTCCTTAATATTTTAATTTTATTTTTCAGAAATATTTAAATTTCGCGGTGCTAAAAAAATAATTGGACAATTTTATATGCGCACGCATGGCAACAGGAAAATAGTGTGAAAAAATCTTAAGGAGCCGGTATTTTAAAGACGTCGTATGAACTTAACCTAAAGTCTTACAGCTCATGAGCTCAGCTGACTGACAGTTGAATTTTGTCATCATTTACAATATGTCTGTAATAGAAAAAGTGCAACATTATCAACGGAGTATAGAAAAATGTTACGACAATCAAGAAAGAGTATGTAAATAATTAATTATATGTCTCTTATTCTTTAAAATATTGAATTTATATTGCTTCTCAAAAGATGCATCTAACCTCCAAAAACTATCACATTTTTCATTAAACAAATGACGTAATTGAAAATTATAATGAATTACATTATTTAAAATTATTTTTTATTTGTAAAATAATAAATTTACCTCTATAAGAATTAAATTGCTAAGGTTTCACTTTTTTCTGTAAAGAGTAACAATTTTTTATCAATAGCCATCTGTTACACATAGTTAAATTGTTACAGTTTTTCTTCTTTTTTTTTGAAAATTCATTTCTGAGAAAAAGAAACAAATTGTGGTTCATTGGGGTTTTTTTTTTTAAATCATTTTATAAAGTGAAATTTTTTAAAAATTTTGTAAAAAAAATTTCAACCAATATTAGTTAAATTGAACGCTTCTACTTTGAAAATATGATCTAAATAACAATTTAATTGCTGTTACAGTTAATATATATGTAATTGTATTCCATCTTATTTGTGTTTCTATTTGATTATGAAATATACGTATACACTGATGATACGTGTACAATGTTTGTTTTTTTTAGCATTAACATCTGTACATGTTTAGAATGATATTAAGATAAAATAGAAAAATAAATAAAATGAAATTAGCTTTTTATTTTTAAATTTTGTAATTCTATAAAACTAAATAATTTCCATCTGTTACACTGGTTGTAAAGTTGAGAATATCTAATCAATGTATCCCCCACAACTTGTTCTACTTTCTCTTCATTAAAAAAAAAACTTCTCTTAAAACAACCACATTATTAAATTTGTGAAAGAGAAATTGTTGAATTACTTGTATCTTTCTGCATGTTTAAGAAATTATATGAAATTAGTAAAAAAAAAAATTTATATTATAACAAAAGTGTTACCAAAAATCATGGAAATATTTTTATTTTGTTTTTATGAATTGATAAATTAAATTTTGTTGTGAAAAAGTTAAGCTAAGAAAATATTGTTTTATTACATTTTAAGTATTGTTTTTTTTAAATATCACGAATAAAGGAAATATATTGTAAATATTTTTCAGAATATATTTCAAACAATAAATGTTGAGATAATTTATATTTGTTGTTTTCAGATGATGTATTGTATATCCAAACTTTATCAGTTACCTGTCACAGTACAACATTTACGTGAAACTGGCGTAGGAAGGACAGTGAATTCTTTGCGTAAATTTGACGGTGGTGTTGGTGATGCCGCAAAGGCTTTGGTATGTAAATGGAAAACTATGGTAGCTGATGAAGATTCAAGCGATCCCGAAGATGAAGACGAAGCTTGTGTACCAGATGCTCCTGAAAGTTACAGTGAATCTCCAGAATCACCCAGTCCAGATAATACTTCTGAAAATAATATAACAAGGTACGAAACTTTTATTTAAATTATAAAAATGATTTAATAATAATTATTAAAATAAATTAAATAATAATTCCAGGCATAATAGTGAAGGATCAAAAGAAAAATCTGGGAGTAAATCTAGTAAACATGGATCTTCAGAGCATAGTTCAAAGTCTTCATCAAAAGGAAATACAAATTCTGAAGTCAGTAAAAGTAGAAGTTCCGATAAAGAAAGGCATTCCAAAACTGAATCGAGAGGCCATGAACAAAGGCATGAATCTATTAATAAAAAGCATTCTTCAAAACATGAATTAGATAATGATAAGTCAAGAAGTTCACAAGATTCAAAAAAGAGGCACGATTCAAGGGATAAAAGTCGAATTGATTCTGATATTGGTAAAGTTTCAAGTAGTACTGAGGCATATGAAATGAATGACAAGGACAATCATAGAAAGCGTAAACAAGAAAAATCATCAAGGGACAAAGAGAATATCAAGAAAAAAAGATATTCAGAATCTGATAATGAAGAAGATAATTCACGTCTTATTATTAATTCTCCAATTCGTTCTGAATCTGAATCACCTAATGCAGATTCTGAAACACTTGCCTCTTTAGAATCAGGAATTACAAAGAAAAAAAATACCCATTCATCATCATCATCTTCATCATGTGATAAAACAATTTCTCAAAAAGAAACTAGTGATAAAGAGAAAAAACGAAACAAAGAAAAAAGTGATATAAAACACAAATCAAAATCCGAAACAGAAAGGGAAAGTTCTAAACCAAAAGATTCAAAGAAAGATGATAAACGTAAAAAAGAAAGTCATAATTCTAGTTCTAAACATTCTTCTTCTAAGTCAAAAAGTTCACATAGTTCTTCTAGTAGTAAAGATCGTATTAGAAACAATGATATAGATCATGAAAAGGATAAGAAACATAAGAGGGAAGATAAATCGAAATCTAGTGATAGTATGGAAAATCAGAAAGATCAGAAATTAAAAAAGAAAATCAAGAAAGAAAATGGTGATGAAATTGATGGAATTGATTCTCAATCAGGTTAGAGCATTTATCTATTTAATTTGAATTGAGATTTTACTTTATTAAATTATTTCATCTTTTTTCAAACTATAAATGATTAATTTATTAAAATTTACATTTTTACAGGTACAAGTTTTGCAGAAGCTCTTGGTATGTGTACAATGCCTCCTCCCTCACGTAAACGTGAAAAAATACCCAGTACTTCATTTGTGACAAAACCAATTAAAATAGAACCCGGTACTTCTACATCTACTAAGACAATAACACCATCAATAACACCGTCGACAACAATTAAGACTGAAGCAAATGTAAGAAACTAATTTTATAAATAATTAACTAGCATAATAATTAACTAACACACAATAATTTCCTTTTTTTTTTTTTGACAGCCATTATCACTTTTGTCACCAAATGCCAAATTAGAACCATTAAGTGTTGATTTGGCAGCAACATTACCTGAAATTAGTCCTAATTATAAGCCACTAGCTCATAATTTAATTCCAATGAATCGAAAAGTAGATGAAGGTAGAGCTTTATCAGAAGCAATTTACTGTAAAACTCAAAGGTATTTATAATAATCTTTTAGCAATAATTATAATCCATATTATTGATTTTAATAATTTTTTTTTTCTTTAATTTTAGAACAAAAGTTTTCTCTGGAAATAAAAGTAGTCTAACAAATATACCCACTTTGTATGAATTGTGCATTAGAGTATTAATAGATAATATTGAAGGTAAGTTTTTCTTCATTAACATATTTGACAATTTAGAAAATCGTAACAACAAAAAAAAAATATATATTTTTCAGCTCTCGAAGTTACGGGCGGAGTACCATATTATATAATAAAACCAGTTTTAGAAAGAGCAACACCTGATCAGCTCTTTATGTTGGAACACTATAATCCATATCTCATTGAAGACACGGATCCTTTATGGCAATTTCATTGTAATCGTGAATTTAGAGCACAATCGAGAGAAGAAATGGAATCTTGGCGCGATATGTATATGGTAAGTAATTATGTTTTATTCAGAATTTTTAAAAGTTATTTTTAATGACGAAACAAAAAATTTCTTTTTGCAGCGCTGCTTAGACGAAAGAGAAGCAAAATTAAAGGCCGTTACTGCAAATATGAAACAATCAATGGACAAATCACAACCAGTGAGATCAACAATACAGGTATATGATCATCACATTAAACCACCTCGAAATGTATTGCGAAAACAAGCTAAATACGGAACTGCAAGAGATTTACCAATTACTTCATCGGAAGTTAAGAAAAAATTAATTTCCGGTAATACTCATAGTAATGCTACATCAACTTGCCCACCATCGCCAATAGCTCGAATAAAAGCAACATGTGAGTTAAATTTTGAATTTAAAAAAAAAAAAAATTACGATTTAAATTTATTAATTAATTTCTTTTTATTTCCAGCTTCTACTATTGGAAAAAAAACAAAAGCACCTCTAATGGCAAAAGCTATTAAATTTATAAAAGGAAGTTACAGACGATAGTTATTGTACAACTATGTATTTTTAACAGTCTGCGTATATTTATAATATTATCATTTAAAAAATGCAGATTTCTTCCATCAATTAATTTCGAAAAAAAATATTTCTTCAACAATTTTTACGCATTATAATTAATTGCGTAAATGTTATTTCACAGTGATTAAAAAAAAAAAAACCAATCACAATGCTTTTATTTTGAATATAATTTAACTTAAGCAAATTTTTAATCCACCATTGTGTTAAATGATGTTTGTAAATTTTTTAAATTTTGTTCGTATGTAACTTGAAAGTACTTTTTTTTGTATATTTAAAAAGAAACGATAAATGTTATTTTCTGTGAGTATTTGTGATTTTGTATAAAAATGGACTTCGTACAACAATGTTTGATTCTCAATTATTACGAGAATCAGTTATATGATCGCATGGTGTGAACATGTTTAAACTTTATTTTTTATACATTATTATAAAAAAAAATATATTGCTTGTAATTAATGTTATAACGTAATACTTAAACTATTTCGATTAGTGTTAAGTGATTAGTGTAATAATTGTTATTAGAAGAATACATAAAAAAAAAAGTATGAAGTAATGATAAATTGTTTTTTTTTTTCAATTTTCAATAGACAGTTTTTTTCTGTTTATTTTTTTTTATTTTATTGCTAAAAATGCAATTAGTAATAAAAATTTAATAAAATTAAAACTTTTTTTTTTCTTTAGTTTTTTAATATGTATATCATTTGAAAATTTAAATACTTCGCGCGCTTTCGATTCACCAGGCGGCAGCACTGATTTATTCTGAGTTTTCACTTCAAATTTTTTTTGTTGGTCACCCTGTTTTTTCACCAAATAAATTTGTGACATTTAAAACAAGTTCTACACTTTGTTAATTTCTTAATTAATTGATTAATTTGAAATTCTATCAATAAAAGGTTTAATTAACTGTGTATATTGTTTGTAACAGCATAAAAGATGTTTTCTGCAAAAATGACAGTATGAAGGTTATAGCGGTAATTTTTTGAAGACAAAAACAATGCATTTTCTTTCATACTTGAAGATGAACAAGAAAGAGAATTTAAACTTATGGATACTGAAAACTCTAAAAAATTGAGAAAAACAAAATATTGAGAAAAAATACGAAGATGTAAGTATCCATACTTATTAGACTATTAATTAATTTTTATGAATAAAAAAGTTAAAAAGTTTATAATTAATAAAAAAAATCCTAACATTGAATTAGGAATTTTAGTAATAATTCAGTCAAACACGTGTAGGACAACCTTTATTAATTAATTCTTCGCTAAGTCACAATATTCTACTATCATAATTAATATATAATAATTACAATATAGGTCATAATATATAATATATATTTTTATTATATTAAATATTAATATTCTTATAACTATGCCTTATTATAATACACGATAATTTTCTTAAATTAACCCTCATATAGTATTATCAGGATGGTATAAATAATATTGTATTTCATAAAAGCACTTCTTGTTGCTTATAATATTATCGTTTCCGCGTATAGAATTCATTACTCCTCTCATTATAACCGAACTCGTTTTTTTTCTTTTTTTTTTTAAATATGAATTGTTACATTTCATTGTTATCAGTCTCCTCGATTGTCCCTATTTAAAAAACGATTATTTTCTCTCCTTTTTTTTTAATGGGCTTTAAGTCATTTGGGTATTTAACCCTTCCAATTAACAAATCCAATTTTAAATAATTTCACATTAAAATTGAAATATTAATTTTTAAATTTATGTCAATAATAAATTATTATATTATATAATATTATTATACTAATAATAACAATAATTAACTATTTTTTTAGTTATTAATAATTATTTAATTAAAAATATGATTGAAAAAGTAGAATTAATTTCCATTTTTTTCCTTATTGGACCCAACTATTGCTATTTTTTTTTACATTTTTGGTTTTTTTTTTTTAAATTCATTTTTACAATATTACTATAAAATTATAATTTACATAATTTGATAATTAAAATTACAAATCGAATGACCTTATCTATATCACAATTTACAATTATCTTTAATGCCCTTTTATAATTAATAATGTAATTTCTTGATTAATTGAAAGTTAAATTTTATATAAAATTACAATCGAGTAGACCTTTGATTTAATAATATTAATATTCGTTTTGGATTTGTAAGAATCAAACACGGAAACCAAGTTCGATCTCATCGAGCACCCTGGATTTTTTTTTTTTTTTTTAAATTAATCACAGGTCCCAAAATTGCTTTACCAACCAGAGATTAATATTGATTAATATTTCTAGTGATTACGCAATTATGATTATTATTTATTTATTTTTTTTTTACTTTCTCTCATAACAACTACACAAAATTGCCGCCTTTTTTTTTGAGTAAATATATAGTTTAATGATTGCTTGTTGCCTCGTTCTTATTTCATGTTTCCCTTATAATTTTTTTTGTTTTTTTGTTTGATCCATTCGCAATTTAAGTTAATTGTTTTTTTTTTTTTTGCGCGTATGGTTGCTTATATATGTTTACGTCATATATGAAATACTTTTTTGTTAGGCAGAAAGCAGAAGTCCTAAAGCACCCATTTTTTTTTTGTTGTAAAGAAAGAAAAATATGAAAACTAAAATTTTGTGAAAAGTATATTTTAAAAAATAGAAAAGTGATGAAAAATAGAACAAAAAAAAAAATGATGAAATAAGAATGAGGTAAAATAAAAAGTAAATTATTTTATACATACCTTGAAAGATGATTGATGATGAATATGAATGAATAAATGAATAAAATAAAGAATAATTTCGGCACTACTAAAATAATATTAAATTCTAATTAAATTTCTTTCTAAATTTGAATTAGACAAAAATTGTTTAAATTTTTTAAATTATTAAAAAGTTGTGAATAAAAATAAGTGAAAACCAGTTAAATTACACTAATTATTGATAGAAAAAATATTAATTATTTTTTTTTTTTTTTATGAAAAAATAGTAATTGAAAATTAAAAATTTGTCTAATTCAGATTTACAGCCATTGTTCTAATTAGTTTTTTTTTTTTTTTTTTTTTTTTTTTTGGCAAAGCTCAAAAAACAATTTGTCATTTCATTTTCTTTTTTAAATGAAAATTTACTTCTGCTATCCTCAGAGCTTACAATTACGGATTTCTTTTTTAAAAAAGATCTACAGGCTTCGATAGAGGATTAGTAGAATCGTTGTCATTGGAAAGATATTTCCTTGAGGTATTATATTGATAGAAAACAGTGCTTCTGTTTGTATGAGGCGTCGAGATGAGACTTGGTTTTAACGTTAAATCTAGTTTGCCATATATATATATATTAAAAGTTGAATTTAAAAAAAAAAAAACCGGCGCCAAAAATTGGCACCAATTTTCAAAAATCAACTTTTATTTTCGTTTGTCCAATATCAAATTGGATTATTCTTTTTTTTCAACAAAACGAATAAAAAAAAAAAGTGAAAAAAGAAAAGCAAAAATGCTTTCATGAGATGAATTGGGAGACGTTATAATAATAGAGATTTATACTGACAATAACTATTTGCAAATATTTTTTGTGAATAAACATTCATTGGTGTTTGGCAATATTCGGCTCATTTTCCTGAAAGTTATTATTCGACTTTGAATTATTATTATTATTATACAAAAGAAATTTTTTTTTATAACAATATTGTAGCCGAGCCGATGTTTATAGTGATAGGATATTTTTTTTAAGCATAAAACACGTATATAAATATACATTGAATCTACCATTATAGCTGCAAAGAGCTTAATACGAAATAGTTTTGTCAGCAGTGCGCTGGAGGGTTATTTTGTTTTAAATATACCCCAGATGAGACGCACAATCGAACTTGTTCGAACGTCGTCGGAAAAGTCATCAGTTAAGAATAATTGAAAGAGCATTGTTTTTTTTTTTTTTTTTTTTGTTTTTTTTGTATCATTTGTGTTAAAATTAATTATCATTATTTTTAAATTTTTCATTAACAAATTTCGTCGCTTTTTTTTGTAACTTTAAATTTACGTACGAAAATATTCCTCGGGCAAAAAAATTATAGTAAAATGTATAATATTGAGATTTCCTTCAGCAGCAATATATCCATGAGGAAATCTTTAGGAATTCATTTTTCATAATCGATTTATTGATATGACGTTAGAATAATAGATTTTTTTCAGCCCTCAGCTTTGGTTTTTTTTTTTTTTTAATTCAAAACAAATTTTTCTGATTTTTTTTTGGAAAAATAAATCACCGTAGGACTGAATTTTATTTTTCTTTTTGCACAAAAATTTTCGTTATTTAAAAATTAAAACGACGTGATTGTTTCTATATAGTTAACTATTTAATGCTTTCGTAATGCATTGCACGATTCAAATAATTTTTTTTTTTTTTTTTTTTTTTTTTGTTTTTCTTTTTTTTTCTTCACTCGACGATCAATAAAATTCTCGCGGCACAAGTGGCACAATTTAATCACAAATTCTGCAGAGGCTCCAGTAATCTGATTTTTCGAAAAAATTTCACATTCCACATTTTTTTTAAACCTTCCAATATTTTTTTTAACACTGCCTCAACTTCTTATTTTTTTTTTTTTATATTAAGAATTAAGTCTTATGACATAATTTTAGCTTACTTATTGGCTCTAAATGTTAAGCCTACAATATCCACTTGTTGAGAGGGGTTTTTTTTTGGGGGGGGGGAGGGGGCGATTAATAGGATATTGTGGGCTTTTTTTTTATTACTATTTATAATTTAATTAAATATTATTCTATAAGTCTAGGAGACAGATTGGTATATAGAAATAGCGAAACGGACATATAGACAGACAGACAGACATTTAGGTACCATGCAATGTATGTACGTATAATTTGGATACTCAAAAACGTCATTACAGTCGTGATTTTTCATTTAACGATTGCAATTTAATGGCTTTAAATATTATATATTTTTTATCCTTTTTTCTAAATTTTTATTTCATTTTTAATTTAAAAATTTGTTTTTTTTTCTTCATTTAACAATTTTCTTTTTTCTGATATTTGAAAATTGTTTTTTTTTTTAATTTCATTTTTTTTTTTTTTTTTTATAAAATTGTCGATGGAAATTAAAAGAAAAGAAAATTTGTAATAAATTGCAGAGCCAAAAATTGGAATCATTGAATATTTCTGGACTATTTTGACGTTTTTTTCTATTGAACTTTTTTTTTTTTTTTTTTTTTTGAAAACATTATTCTAGAGGAAGGCTTCAGAAGGCCTTTACGGAACGCACACTTTCTCACTTTCTCACTCTTTGACGATTAAACTTTATATATACCGTAATATGTATTGTTAATATCGAAAATTCACAGTATTTTAATACACGGAATTTCACGCTTCGTCTTAGACTCGCTAGCGCCAAAAATATATGTGTTCTTTCGTTAATATATAGATTTATATAATATATATATATATATTTATATATAATATAATATAATATTTATGCGTGTCTCCTTAATCTAATTTTAAAGTCATTTGTATATAATAGATATACAGATAAATATATATACATATATACAAATATATGTATATATAATTTATATTGCATATATGTATATTTTATATGTATACGCGTATTTATAATATTATATTTATATCATTATTGTATATAATTACTCATGTGATTACATGCGTAGATAAAGGTATGCATACGTATATGTACGTTTCCAATCTCCTTCGTTTATTCAGAAAAATTTCTGTTTTTACCGCGAATTTATATTATTATTGCAAGTTAATATTTAAACAAAAGAAAAAATCAACATCTTTCATCGTTCATTTTTTTTTTTTTTTCTTTTAATTATAAGAAAATTCATTTAAGAAAAAATGCTAATTTCATCTATTGCATTTTACACATATATTTATATATTATTTGAAAAAATATTTCCTTAAAATTAAGAATTATCTCGTTTTTTTTTTTTTCATAAAGAAAAATAGTAAATGAAGGAGATCTGTTTTCTCATATTTTTTTTGTTTTGTTATTTTCAGTAACAAAATATTTTAAAAACTTTTTCCTGGCTTATCTATTTTAAAAAGGATGGTATAAAAAAGTTTTGATAGTAGGATCAAGTTTTTTTTTTTTTTTTTGTCTTTTTTAGAAAAGTGCCAGTCAGACAGATACGATTTGAATTTTGATTAATTTTTCTTTTTCATTTTTTATTGACTGTCTATTATAATATTTGATATACTAATGGCCTCATTTTTAGTATCGAATTTATTTTTCTTAAAAATTAAATTTTCAGTGGTCAAATGTTTTTTTTTCATTGACAAGCGTTTGGTTTTTGAAAATAGTAATTGAATTATTATTGTATGAAAACAAATCAAATGACGAATGTCAGATTTTTTTTTTTTTTTATAATAAAATTCAAAAGTTACAATTATTATTCAATTGCTTTTTCCTTTGAGAAATGCAAGTTTTGAATGCGATCTTTGTACGTATTTCGTGCGACCAGCAGTTTCGAAAGACAATTTATTTCTTTTTTTTTTTTTTTATTTTGGAACATAATTGTAAAATTGAATTTCGAATCTGCTGTGTCGAGGTCCCGTTCGTAAAAAGCGATTCAGCTTTTCATTTATTTATTTAATTTTTTTTTTAAACACAGCTTCATTTTTTTTTTTTTTTTTTTTTTTTGTCTTCTAGGACTTTTCTTTTTAGAATCTTATAGCCTAGATTACAACGTGAGAAGAGTATTTTGAGTAAAAACGCATAATTAATTTATGCGTTAAATTTAAGTACCTATAATATGACTTGAACACTTGTACTTGAATATAATTTCTTTTTAATATTACTATTTTCACTTTTCTCTCACAGAAGTCCATATATTATCCTTAAACCTCATGGAAATTCGCATATATTATATTATACAACTATAATAATGGTGAATAAAATTCCAAGAGACATGTTTTAAGGATGGACGAGGTTCTCTAATATTCACATTTCATCTGGTTTTATCTCTTTTTTTTCGAATATTATTCGAAAAAAAAAGATCCCTTTCTTTCGCACTTTCTTCATCAAGAAACTTTTGTTTCAATCGATCGTTCTTTTCTTAGATTAAAAAAAAAAAAAACAACAAAAGACAAGGTAATACTATCAACATTTCCAATTATTGAAATTTCTCGCAATTTGAAAATTTTTTTTTTTTGAAAAAATTGAAATTTCAACAAATTAATTACTTTTTTTTCTATAAAATACAGAAACATTAACAAATTACTCATCAACATTTTTTTTAACATATATTTTTTTTTAAATAGACTTTTTTTTCGGGGAAAAAGTCACAAGTCCTTTCTTAATTCGAAGGGGAATATTCACAGAAAACGATTATAGTCAAATCACTTTCGTCACTTTCGGCAATAATTATCGTCATAATCAGTCACGACAGATTAAACACGAGTCGTAATAATAATAATAAATTATTATTATTAATTATAGTAATAGTAATAATAATGATGATAATCGAAATTTTTTCTTAAATTCTAACGCAAACTGGCACAAGTCAAGTTCAGGGGGGTGATTATTTTACAGCATTCTGGAATTGTACAATTTTGAAATTTTTTTTATTGATTTATTTTAATATAATATTTATATAATAATATAATTAATAATAGCAATAATAATAATATAATAATAATAATAATAGTAATAATAATAATATATAATAATAATAATAATAATAATAATTAATAATGAAATAGGTATCATTATACTACTTAGGTACAGCTGCTTGATACTCTTTTTCCTTAAAAGAACAAAAAAAATAAAAATAAAAATAAAACAGAAAAAAACACTTTCAAAGGCCGCCATCGCGCGCGGTCGCATCCGCGCAGGATAATTCTCTCTCTCTTTTTTTTTCATTAAAAAACCTCGCTCAAAATATCAATTATAAAAAAAAAAAATAATAACAAAAAAAGAAGAGCGACAAGCGAAAATCCCGCTCAGAAAATTCGCTATGTCAAAATTGATTTTTTTTTAATCCTTTCGCAGATACGACTACAACCGGAAATGTACAATTAATAATTATAATGAAAAACGCCCCATTTTACAAAAAAACCATAATAATCACGATACAATGGGGCTACAAATAATTTTAATATAATCAATCAAAAAAAAAAAATATATATATATATATTCAGACACAATAAACTGGTATCAAGATTCGAGAATGCACTTTTTAATTTCATTTTTTTTTTGTTGCCCTTTAAACGCTTTTTTTTTCATCACTCATACAAGAACAATAATAATCGCAGTACAACGTTTTTTTTAAATTTTTTTAATAAGTAGTTATATTTTACTTCGTCTTGCGACCGTTTATTTATTTATTTTTTTTTCATATGCAATTGTTATATTGCTTCGTTTTTATGAGTTTTTCATCTAATTTCATTTCATATTTTCTATTATAAATTCGAGTCTCATCCCTTCGGATCTTAAAAAAGTTTTGTTTGCTTTCTTTTTTATTTTTCTTTTAAAATCGAATGGACGTGCCTCTACAAAAAATTTTATTGTTTTGCTTTTATCTTTCAAAATCTTCGCGAACAAGACACACGCAAAGAGGTGTCTCTCTCTCTCTCCCACATTTTTTTTTGTTTTTTTTTTTTTGTTTTTTTATTTTTTATTATTTTATATTATATTATCCTAAAAAATCTGACTTTAAAGTTCTACAATAAAAAATAACGTGCTTCCTTATAACACTAAAGTACCTGTATGCATATGTAGTACGTGAGTGTGTGTTTTCTTTCGCGTGTAAATGCATGTTGTGTATTTTTTTTTTCTCTATTTCATCCAAATTATTATTACTTTTCTTTTTTTTTTTAATATGCAGCTTCACATTTACATTATACGCGAATGCGCGCTCAATTTTTTTTTTTTTTAATGTCTAAATTTTTTTGCCCCGCTCTCAAAATCTGTCCCTGTGATTGTTTGACTCGCGCTTATCGATTGAATTGAGTTTTTTTTTTATTTTTTAATTTGAATAAAAATTTCTTTAAACTTTTTCAATTAAATTGAAAAATTGTAAATGTTTGAATTTTAATTGAATTTGAAAAATTGAAACATTTTTGAATTTTTTCAATTGAATTGCATGGAACAGTTTCCTTTTTTTTTTAAATTAAATCAGTAACAGATTTTTCGATGCTTGGCGAGGAGAGATTTTACAATGTTCCTATTTTCTTTTCCATTCGTTTTACGTAATATGCATCCATATTTTTGAATACGACTATGATAAGTATATTAAGGCCTTGCGTTGAGGTTTTTGGAGTGTGTATCTAATACCTCGTTGGCGATTTTCAACTGTTCCCAGTAGAGATCGTCGAGCAGGGGTAAAATAAAATTATTTTTTAAAATTTCCAATTTTTCAGGACTAAAAAAAATTTTAAAACAATTTTTCGACTATTGACAGAAAAAGAAAAATTCTAAAAATTGTTTTAATATTTTTTTTTCTTGCTTTCAGTTCTAACAGTTGAAAAATCACTTTTTTAAACCAATAATAAAATTTCTAATTTTCTCTCGGTTGACAAGAAGGGGCTCATCAAAATTAAACCGAGCAGAGGAGAGCTAAAATAATTAATTAATAATACGATAATAATTAATAAATATAATAATATTAATATTAATAATAATAGTAATAATAATAATAATAATAACTAAGCAATCACGACTAGTCACCTCATTTCTCGACTTGCTAGAGAGCGAACTTCGAGTCGATGATTTTTACAAATTTTGTTTATTTCTTTTTATCGGAGAGAATTTGTCGATATATGAGGATGACAGCAGTCGAGTAACGAGAATAATTTTACATATATACCAAAAAAAAAAAAATTAATAAAAAGCGAAGGAACATTATTAAAGTTTGTACGGACATCAGACTAAACGAAAACTTCTTGTCTTCCGAGGATTGAGGAGAAATTTTCCCAAAAAAAAAATTGCCTTTTCTAAAAAAAAAAAGCTAATTTTTTCCTATCAATATGTTTTCTTTTTAAATATTTATTGAAACCGTCCCTGCCCAAAGGGCTCTAGTTCTTAAAATCTAACTAATTCTATGATTGCACGAAACAAGGTAGAAAGGATTCTCTGAGACATTAAAATTAATTTCAAGCGTTTTTATTTTTTATTCTACTTGAATCCTTTTTTTTTTTAAATATCAAATAAAACATGAGAAAAGCAAGACTAAAAATTGATCTTTGGTGGATGGAATCCTTTCAATGGCACTAGGGTGCTTAAAGATTTTTTTTTTTTTTTTTATTATAGCGGATTACAAGCTAGAATTTTGGTTTTGTTTAACAGCATGATAAATTAATTTTACTGATTCAGAGTTCCAATATTTTTTTGTCCTAAGAATGTTTTTTTTTTTTTTGTTTTCCCTAATAATATAGCGATTAATACAGATTAGACGAGTTTTACAGGAACAAATTAGTGTGTGTATGTGTGTGTGCTGGATATTTTGAGAAAGAAAAGACACAGGGTGGCCAGCCTTAAGACACTGTGCGTAATTTAAAGAAGCCTACTAATCTTCTCCCAATTTCCCAAACCCCCTCCCCTCCCCCCTCTTGTCTCTAAACGAGCCTTACTAGTTAATAGTAGTACGTAAATAAAATAAATACTTTCATAAACATTCGTTTAAGTATAGAATTCCCATTTTCCATTCCCACACCTTTCATTGACTTGGATAATAATTGTTAATATCAGTTCTATGGCTTAAAACAGTCTTAAATTTATATATGTATGTATAAGGTCCACTAGGTCCACATGAGCATTCGCGCGTATCGATAAAAGGAAATGGAAAAAAAAAAAAAAAAATTATTCGAGTTTTTACAGTCATGCGTCAAGCTCAGGTCCAATTAAATGACTGGTTTTGAAAGAGGTATTTTTGCTTGGGGAACAACCATCACGGAAGAATCGGTTTTTTTTTTCTTATCAATGTATGTTTTTTTTGTTTTTTTTTTTTTTTTTGAAAAATCACTAAATACGGCGACCACTAGAATCTCAATCTTAATTAATTTTTTTTTCTGGAGCTCCAAGTAATTTTAAAATTTAAAATTATACCTTTTAACTTTTTTAAAAAAACTATAATGAATAATTATTCGATGTCAATGTCTAGAGCAACATTTAGTAAGGATGAATTATCTATTGATCCTGATTTAGGGTTTATTAATCACTGGAAAAAGTGGAAAGATTGACAATTTTTTCTGACAAGGATTATGAAAGTATAAAGCATCAGCCTGATATTTATTCTTGACAAGACATTCTCATCAAAGTGAAAGGAGAACAGTATTTAGATTCGATTGATCATGAAAAAAAAATTCTTGCTTCAAGAATTAGTCAATATTCTAAATCTGTTAAAATTCAAAACACCAAGATTAAAAGCCAAGATAGTGGACAGTATCACATATATTCCTGGAGATTACTCTATATTACTGGAGTATTACTCCAGGGCAATTTGTATGAAGGAAATAAGAGTTACTACAACCTCTGTAAGAATCTGGTTATCTCTATTTACAATTTATCCAGAATTCTCTGGATATTTCAAAAAATATCTACGTAATCCCGACAAAATAATCTTGGTAATTGGAGATAACTGTGAAAGTGATGAGAAATTTTGTAAGGTGATATTGTCGATCAATTAGATACCTCATACTGATGAAGATCCTTTCACAGAATTAAATAAGATCAATCCAATCTTCACAGACCATGAAATAAAAACTTCAATACTTTTCATTTATCTGTGTTTATATAAATCTTTCGACAATAATGATCATTACGAAGAATTTAAGAAAAAGAGGATCGGAGTTTTTAATTTCCTACTCGGAGGCAATGTAAAAAAATTCATTATTCCTGACTCTTTTTACAAAGAGATCAAAAATATACTGAATCAATTTCCATTATTGGTAAGTATGTTTTATTTCTTTTTGAGAGAATCAATTGTCTATCCAGAAACAAAGGCTACTTATAGTTTAATAAATTACGCTGGTATTTCTGTATATAAATTCATATCAGAGTTTATGCTTGGAGCGACAAAGACCCTTGCTCATCGAGATTTGACAATTATTCGTGAAATTGCTTTGTTCGCAGGACATATAAAGAAGTTAAAAAGAGAAATACGGTATTCATTGGTCCTACGTAAGTTTCTTGGAACCAGGTGTACCTCAGGATGTCAAAAACAGATATCCAAACATTAGCATGGCTTCTTTTCTTTTTGAAAAAATTCATTTTGAAAAAGAGCAGATGACCCATTTCAAGATAGATGAATCTCACCAAACAATTGCCGGATTAAAAGACTTGGTAGCAATTATTGACAATAGCGATATTTATGACTTAGAAACTGTTTCACCATTAACTAATCTTGAGGATGAGACAATAAAGGAAGGACTAAAAATTCTCAAGATAAATGCAACTAAATTTAATGCGAATTTGATAGAAAAATAAATCATGAGCACTTCTCCTCAAGAATCATTAGACTTTCAGCAATTTCTTAAAATGATGATGAGTCAAGGGGTGCAAAAATAATGAAAATTGTCTATTTATTTTCAGTTACAAAAAGCCGAGCTCTCTGCTATTTTTATCTTTTATTTTATATTTTTATTATGTTATATTTCTTTTTATTTTCGATATTAACTGTATTGTCATTTTTTGTCAAGTTAATTTCTGATTATTTTTTAATTTTTAATTTTTTTTTCTTCTTCTTCATCTTCTCGTCGTCGTCGTTTTTTTTTTTTTTTTTTTTTTTCATTAATTTTTATTTTTGTCATTAATTCTTTAAAGCCAGGGTTATTTCCCTGTGAGGTTCTGCGGTTTTTTAACAAGCGGAGTTAAAATCTAAACATCCATCAGTCTTTCGATGTCTTTGACTGTGCTATACAGTTCATTAGAATTCAATTTATTTAGTTTTATTATTTTTGGATCAATTTGATTATGTGCCATATATGTCTCGAGAAGGTTGGGAGTTAGAAAAAAGAGCCGCAACAATGATTTCTTATGTATGCTTTTAAAAAGCTCCTGAGCAAATTTTTTCTCTCTCTCTCTCTCTCTTTTTTTTTTTTGAAAAATGATTCTCCGGATCGCCGTTGATGTATCATTTATTTTTTTTTCTCCTTCTTTATCTCAATTTCTACCTCGAGTTTACCAAATAATTTCGACCAACTCATGAGATGATCAGTACTTTCAAGCATACACATCTAAAAACAAAAAAACAAAGAAAAATTCGAATTAAAAAAATTGAAAAAAAATAATTTCACAATACAAATTGAAAATTATTGGAATGTCGAAAAATGAATTTCGTCTTTTGTTTGGGGAATAGTTTTCAATTTGGTCGAAATTTTTGGCATTCACGCAAGTTAAAAAAAAAATGAAATGAAAGGTAAAAAGTCGAGTTAACAGTTGAAAATCGCAAGCGTCTCCGAACCCCGGGAACAAACAGCGCGCCCGTGACTGATTATAATTTTTTTTTTTTTTTTTTTTTATAACGCGCTGATTAAAACCTATTTTTCTATAATATTTAGCTGGGTATCATGAGAGAAAATCGCGCGCCATTTCTTCTTACTGATACATCTTAAAATTAGGTTTTCTCGCATTTATATATTATGTTTCGCTATTTTTATTTACTTTTTTTTTATTTTTTTTTTTTTGAGAAATATCTCTTGGATTAAATTTTTTTTCTTTTCTTTTTCCTAAAGTGTTGTGTATGTGTGTTTATGTATTGTAAATGTGTACAAGGGGGTCCATGATCATTAATGTGTCATTTATGACAAACATCATCATTAATGATGATCATCATGTGCCACACATATGATGCCAATTAATCAATCAATCAATTAATTAATTAATTAATGAGAATAAGAATAATTATTATAGATCTATTTCTTAATTTATGCCATAGATGATAATTAATCTAAGCCATTAAAAATCTAGTTAACTACGAGAGAGAAATAGCCTAGTGCTCACAACACAGTTTTACACATAATATAGAGACCCTAATCAGTATTTTTTACCTTACGGTGCTGTACTTGGTTTTTTTTTCATCATCGTTAATACTCGCATTTTTTTTTTTTATGTAATTGGCATAATATATACTCACGATAATAATATTAATAATAGTAGCAATAATAATAATAGTATTAATAATAATATATATTCATATCATCGGTTAAATATACTTTTATATTATCGTTATTTGTGTATACATATATATAATATATTTTCATTCGCTTTTTTTCTATATTATCGTACAACATTCTTTTTTTTTTTTTTTTTTTGCTTTTTTTTAAGAATTTTTTTTTTTTTCTTGAAATGTATTATTATTATTAGTGTATATAGTAGTTTTACATACGAAGAGGGATGTTGGCGCTTCACAGATTCGTTTCAGAGCGGAAAAAACACCGGTCAATTATAATGAACAATGTTATTCCCCTTTGTTTATATATATATATTTCTTATTTAAATAATTATTATTAATATTATTATTATGTCCCCCGATGAGACAATATTTGCGTCGAAACTTAATATATATTTATATATAATATATATTCCGTAACTAAGATCCCTCCCACATCTCTCTCTCTCTCTCTCATACCTTGTCACAGCTCTAAAATTGAACGCGTGCCCAAATATCGCGGGTTCGATATTCGGGGATGATTTTTTTTTTAGGTTTTTCTTACTTTTTTTTTCTTATTCTTCATTTTATTTACGTTTATATCTTATAGAAAGAGACTATATTAATTCTATAGAACGAGAAAAAAAAAATGCGCACCTTCCCAAGGATCGTCCATTATTAGGACTTTTAATCACACTTTGATATTTGACACGAAATTTCGATTATTTAATACCGTCAAGCAGAGTGGTCGATTATTTTTTCGAGAAAATATAAATAAATAAATGACAATTTCCAAATTTTTTTTTTCTTTCCATTTCAATTTGGAAAAGACCCTCTAATTTTTTTTTTTAAGGGGTCCTTGAGTATTCGTCAATGATTCAATTCTCTCGTGGCGTATATTCTTTTTCATTCACTCGCGGAATTTGAAAATCACGGGCGTGCTGACAGAGATAGGGTTGAGGGTTGAGGAGGGAGGCAGGGTTTTTTTTTTATTTCTTGATTAGCCTTCTGAAAGAAGAAGGCTATAAGTGAAGGGGCTCCATATAAGGTCACTTGACGAATAATCTAAAAATCTGTTTTTTTTTTTTTTTTGCTTTTTTTCTTTTTTTTTTTTTCTTTATCGATCGTAATTATTTTTATAATATTATTCACGCACAAGCATGAATTTTAATGTTTTTCACTTAGGACTAGATTCAGGCAGGCTCTTCAAAAATGATCAATTTATTGCAAATAGATTTGAAAAATTAATCAAATAATCTTTAAAAGAATTTATTAAATTATAATTTGTGTAATAATAATTATTAACAGAAAAAAAATTATTATTAAATTATAATTGTATTAAAAAATTTTTAAATCAGAGAAAAAATTTCAAGAATATGTGCAATAAATAAATGTTTTCAATAACATGCAAAGTGATTAGAGGACAGGAGTCGCGTGAACTGATTAAACCACACGATCGCGACCCGAACACTACACGAAGGGGCAATTCTCATTTTAAAAAAAAAAAAACAACTTTGCTGGATGATTAATAATAATTATTTTTAATATTAGAATAATTATCTAATTATTAATATCAATTTCTTAATTTCTCTGGACTATTTAATAAATATTACTCTTTTTTTTTTTTTTTATTGTAACTTTTACAATACTGGCCGCTAATCACAAAATTCGGTAACCAATTAAAAAAAAAATTATTTGGAAAAATAAAATTATTTTTTTTTTACATTAAAAAATAAAATTTTAAAAAAGAACTTAATTAGAATTTTATTTTTAAATTATAATAAGATAAAAATTAATTTTAAAATTAAATCCAGCAAAAAGATAAATTTTGTCCAGAAAAATATAAATTTTACATTCTTTGTTATACGACTAATATATTTAGTTTTGAGAAAAATGTATTTACCCTGTAAAATCTAAACTTTCAAATATGTACGTTATATATATATATATAAAAAAACAATGTAAAAAAAATGAGATCCAAAGTGTAGAGAAAGAATAGAAATTCATTTATGGCAGCTAAAAATCAGGTAGAAATTGATTGATTTTTTTTTTTTTTTAAAGACTAGCCAAATAATACGATGACTGGGAATAAAAAAAAAAAATTAAAAATAAAATATAATTGCAATTGAAATTTTTCGAAAACAATTTGAGATTACGTATTTATGTATATTATATGTATATATTTAATTGAGACCCTTCGGAATGAGCGAGTTTCGATAACGGAGCACCAAAGTGCGATAAGATTAAAGACAGTAACACACACGCACGCACTCACTTAAAAATTTTTTTTACTTTTATCTTTTTTCGTTAATATATTTTTAAATATACTGAAAGCAAAAAAGGCCACTCTCCACTCGTACATTTGCTTTGATTTACAAAAATTACAGACTATGATTATTACTTAGGCACTGAAACATGGAATTTCCGTTTTTCTCTCTATCTTTATCTCTTTCTCTCATCATCATCATAATTATTTCTCTCTCTACCTTTTCTCTTTTATTGTTTTTTTTTTTAGTTGAAAAAATTAATTTATTTTTTAATTGAAAAAAAAATTTTTGATTTTTTCTGACATGCGGAAAGCTTTTAAAGTTACGGCTCTTTTGGAAGAGAGACTTTTTAGAAAGGTAAAAAAAAAAAAAAGAAATAATATTTTTTAGGAGAACGCTCTTCTGCGGAAGATGAATCGGCGGCTAAAGAATTGACAAGAAAAATACGACTCAATAAAATCGTCTGAGAGAAAACTCAGTTGTGTAAAGTGGAAGAATACTCGAAAATAGTGGAAAACACGAAAATTGGAATATAGGATTTTGCGTGGGAAAAATTTAAAAAGAAAGAGCTTCACACAAGCTTTCCATTTTTTTTTCTTTTGCAAAATAAGTGAATAATTACTTTCCTATAAAAATTTTGGTAATATTTTTTAATTGTTGACTTTGAAGAAGAGAAAAAGACAGAGAGAAATAAATCGCAATAGGAGAGGAAGAGAAAGAGAAATAGAGAAAAGGAGAGAAAGATTTTAAAGTGATTTAACATACAATGTCTGTTTATAGCAATATGTATATATATAATATATAATCCTAGGCAAAATACATTTACAATTATGTATAGAATATTAGAGAGAAGAAATTGAAACATCAATCGCAAATGCGTGCGAAATACAGATGATATTTCGTAGTTTCATTTTTTTTTTTTTTTTTATCGATTAAAAATTAATTATAATTGTAACACGATTGGCAACACAATTAAGCGTATGGCGGAACAACTTGAGTACCTAAATCAGTTCCCCCTCTCGTCTTTAAATATTTATTCTTTTTTTTTTTTTGTTTTGACTTTCGCGCAAAATTCTAATGGAAGAATCGATTGTTTCATCTTTCTTAAGTTTTTTTTTTTTTTTTGCTTTTACATTTCTTATACTCACGCGGGTGTTTAAAAATTACAATTACGATAATTAATTAATTAATTAATTTTTTATTTAATTATAATTAAAAAAGAAAGCGTCATTCTACTGGCCGAGGTCGAGATGTGTTTCCTCTGCCATAATAATGCTTCACAGCCTCGAGAGACCCAATTTGGCTCGGCAGGCGATTGAACCTTGTTTTATACTGAGACTTATTGAGATGATATTAAAAAAAAAAAAAAAATCTCTTTCCATGAGAATACACACTGAGTTAAATATTATTCAGAGCAAAATAATAAATTCTCCGAATGTAGTCACGAAAGAAAGAAAAAAAAAAAAATTAATCACTTGGTTCTCTCGCCTTGCCTTATTTGTCATTGGTCAAAAATTACTTTTAGAACGTTATTTTTACGAATTACGATAGGAAGAACAGCGGCCAGGTTATAATATTAATTTTTTCGTTTATTAATGCCCCAGAAAGACGTTTAATGAATAACGATTTTCCGAAGTACAGCTCACTAGATTGTACGATTTGGAACAGCGGCACTCGCGATTTTTTTTTTGTCTTTCACAAATCAACTTGAAAATTTTCATTTCTTTTTTTTTTTGGTATGTATACAATATATTTATTTAATTTTGACTTTCGCAAATTTTTCAGCCTTTTTCACTAATAATTTCTCATTAATTCTAGA